TTATTTTTTTCTTGTGCCTTTTCCCTTTTCTCAAACCTACAGGCATGAAGAGATTAATAAAGCAGCTTCTTTATACAGTTTACAATGCAAGTAAATGCTAGGCATTCTTCAGAGGTTACCTATCACAGCAACACTCTTTGTACTAAACACCATACGTGGAGGGCTTCTTTAAAGAAAATAAATACAATTAAATCTGTCTCGAGTGGTTGTTGAAACTGCCCCCTCTAAAACGTGCTGCTGTGTTGGAGAGCTGGAGCCTCGGTCCCACAGGAGCACAGGAGTGGGACTTCTCTGTGGACCAGTCGAGACCCCAGGTTTTCTCCTGGCATGCTGTCCTGTTGTCTCACTTAGCTCTTTCTCCTCTCCAGAAAGGAAAATCATCAGCTGCACTTAATCTTGACATATGCTTCTTTTTAATTTGTTATGCTAGGATGAGAATTGGAGCAGCAAAGGAAATATGGTGCATACTGACAGTCAATGTGGAGAGTCAAATAAAACCGGGGCCTTTCAGTGTGCTGCTGGAGAGCAGAGGGATGAACGGTTTCAGGTGTATTCAAAGCTCTGGGGCTTTGTAGTTTCTTGCACACCTGGGCTCCTTAAATGGGACACGCGAATATATAGGGCATGCAGCATAAACTGCCTGTGCCTACAGCTGTCCTTACCCAGACAGCAGCTTTGCAGCATCTGAAATCTGTAACTCCAGTTGCTGTGAAATCTGGTCTTCAGGCTTCATCGGCTTTTGGAGAAGATGAAATTCTTACATCAAGCCAAGACTAAAACAGCATCTCCGTGATCGGGTTTCGTTTTACTCCAAGTGAATTGTCTTCCCATGTGAAACTCCAGTGCATTCGATGCCTGGAAGGCAGCTCTTCCACCTGGCCCGGTGGCCACATCACTGCCACCTCTTTCTTCGTAGGTCCTGGGTGCAAGGTTGAGCATGTGTCCCTGCAAAGTTTTGACGTTTGGCAGTGTGACGGCAAAGGTGGTGTGCCATAAACATGTTCAACCTGTGTCCTGCAGGCACACTTGAAAAATAATGACACAACATTTGTAAACGTTTTTAAGTCCAGGTAGGGTTCAGAAGGAGGAGTTTTTGAAGGAAAACAACCCAATGTTTCCAGTTTAGGCAGGTGTCCTGCTCTGACACTTGGAGTATTCGGTCAATGACAAGAATTATTTTTCTTGGAGCATCATCCAAAAATCTATTACGGCATTTGACTCTAGCATGATTTCAGATGGCTGATACAGTGGAATGACTTGCAGGCATTTTGAGAAGTGTCTCAGCATCTTCTCTGTGTATCTGGAGGCAGCACCAGAATGTTGCCATTGGTGAGCCAGTAAAAATTTCTGAACAGTGAAATGCAGAAGAAAGAGACCTGGAAGGCAGCATTTCTCCAGGGACCATCTCACTGGCTCATTTTTAGCCCCAGGTCAACTCAAGGCTGACTGAAGTCCTCATTTGCAGTCTGGTTTACTCACATGATTCTCATTAAATGGATGTGTTTAGGCTAAAAATGAGGAGTTTTAGAAAGATGTTTTTTATCTGTGTTTATAGGTGCCCCAGGTCATTAGCAGGAAGCTTTTAAATTTAACAATCCTGTTCGCTTCTTGTCTGTCAGAGTGAGCTCAGAAAAGAAGGTGTTGACTTCTCGTGGGCTTTAGTTTTGGTGTCTCATGCAGTAGCCCAGCAGTAGCTGGTTTTGTTTTGGGGTTATAAATTCCATGTGACTTCCCTCCCCCCCCCCGTAAATTAACAAAATTAGTTCTGCTTTCTTAATGTGCACTAGGAACATTTTAGGAGGAAAGAGGAGAAACCTTAAGGATTGGTTTCACGCTCTGTTTCTCTCCACAGCATGGCAGGAGAGGTTGGCCATATACGTCTGGGGAAGAGGGTTTCATAGGAAGGGGGTGAAGATCAAATGAGGCAGGTGGATGGCAGTGCGTTGGTATTTGGGGTGTATGGTGGGAAAGGGCTAGCAACAGTCAGGGCGCGATGTGATGCTCTCCTTGGCATGCTGCAGCTGGGCAGGCATAGATGTGGGCAGAGAGCTTGCAGAGGAGAGTGTGAACCACATCTCACATCTCTGTCTGTGGATGATGTGCAAACAGGTCGTGGTTCTCGCATATTAGCTCACGGTTTTGCAATTATTCCTGTATTCTGAGCAAACATGTTTCTGTCCCCTGATGGCCATCAAGCAGCTGGCACCGAATGGTGGATAGGCACAACTAGTGCTGTTTTGATTGAAAGATTTGGGTCATTTAGCAACATTTCCCTTCCCTGCCTGGGTGAGTGAGCTCGAGAGTTTTTGTCCTAGAAACCCCCCTAACTTCATCTATAAACTCTGCTCTTTGACTATTTTGCTGCATTTATTTTGAGTGGGAGGAAAGGCAGGAGTTTGTCTCCTCCTGTTCTTGCCAATTAAACTCACCTGCTGGAATAGGTACCTATGTGCATGAATGATGTCCTGTTCCTACATCAGTGTATTGCTGTTCATCTGAATGGCATATTCATGCATGGATATGACAGGGAGAGTCTGCACATTAGTATTAAATCATAGGAAAGTTGGACCCAATGTACGTGAATAGTAGTTTGCAATATTATATTAATATGGTTATGATATGTTAAAATTAATAGTGCGTTTAGTGGGTCCCCACTTTGTTCAAGAAAGCAAAGACTAGATTTATTTATTTTTGAAAGCAGGCTTAAATAAATAAAGGCACAAACTTTCTGCCATGAAAGTATCGTGGACACAGGTTTATAGTGATTCCAGCCCCACCACCTCAGTTATTCCAGCTGCACTGAAATGGCAGGAAAAGGTGGGTTTTCAGCATGTATTCATCTGTGCTCCTCCTTCCACAAATCGTCCTGCAAACAGCAAAAAAAAAAAAATGCTAGCAATAATACACTTCATTTGTTACCTTGCTGGCGTTAATGATGACTTGCCATAAGGAAAATAAATGAGCCGGCTCATGCCTGGTGCGTGGTGGCAGAGCAGGTGCTGGTGGCTCAGGGAGCAGATTCCAGGCTAGCAGCACGAAGGGCTTGGATGCCAGTTCGCATCTTCTCTGCTCTCAAAAGCAGCGTTTTTGTTGTCAGGAGTTGCAAAGTAACAGGTTTTGTGGTTGTGTTTCAGTGCAGAGCTTTGCCATCCATTCAGTGCTTCTCTGTTTTACGGGAATACAGCATTCAGTTGCTTTGCCAGAACTTAAAAGCTGAATTTCTTAGTTGATAGATATTTGTAAAAACTGTGGATTACAAATTAGATTGTAATCTAATTTGATTAGATTACAGCATGCGCTTTAATACCTTTCCTCGGTGGCTTAATGCAGCATCAGGACTGACCCCGGGTGGCACAGAGCCCCTCTGCATGTGTTGTTTTTCGTCTGTGCCCCCTTCAAGGGTGTGCGCTGGGAACCCCCTTTAGCCACCTCGCCGAGCGGCAGCGCTCACTTCTATGCGAGCTCCCGCATTCAAAGTGGTGCGCTTGGCTGCTGCCCTGAAGGTCTGGCAGACTTTTCTGCTTGCCAAAAGCCAACAACTGCCTGAGAAAATTCACTGGTCCAAAGCCCGGCTCGCTTGCACCACAGAGAGGTGAAGGATGAGCATCTGCACCTCCCTCACCCCCTGAGCGGGGGTGCAGATGGGCGTGCTGGGAACCCATCGGTGTTCCTGTGTGAGGACATGCTGGAGCACGGTCACAAGCTAATCGAGCGAGGCGAGCAGCGGCTTGAGGAGCAGGGAGCGGTGACCGTGCTCTTGGAGGGGCAATTGGCCTCGCATCGCATCGTCTGGGGTTGCAAGCTCCACAGCCAGGCGGGCGCCAGAGCCGCCAGCAGTGTGACATGGAGCACCCCTGGGGGGTTGTGTTGGCTCCCATGGGAGCTGCACTTGTGGAGATGCTTAGGTTTTGTCTGCTGAGCTGTCTGGTTTTAAAAAACAACCCCGAAAAAATCCCCCAAGCCCCCTAAGGCTTGCATAAGCTCATATTTCTTCCCTTTCTCTCATTTTCCGCCAAGGATGCCTTTTGCAGCTGATTTCAGCCACACTGGAGCAAGGAGCCTGGCCATGCTGTTCGGCTGAGTTAGGACATCCCACCAGAGCTTGGGTCCTCAGAAGGGACCCTCAGAGGCTGAAAAAGAAGCTGCGGTGTGAGCTGGCGCTGTATTAGACACTAGAGATTCCACACAGGAGGGAAGGTGTGAATAGCTGATGTCAGCTCATTTTTGCAATGCTGTGACTATTTTGGTCACTTGCTGACAGAGCTGCTGCCAAAGTTGCACCAATGCTCCCTGCACAGCAGGCCAGCACCCACCCAAAAACCAGGTTGCCTGTTGCATGGCTCTGAGCTGGCATTTCCTCCAGAGAAGCTGTCTTAGGGCCAGGCAGCATGGGGAGGCTGCGCTGGGCAGCGAGGACAGAAATCCCTAGTGTAAGGGAGAGGAGGTGCAGCAACATTTAATTTGTGAGGTTTTTTTAAAAGGCAAACGTGCAAAGCTGGTCAGAGAGCTGTTTGCCATAGTGGCTGCTTCAGAGCATGGTTTTGCTGGTCGGGGAGCAGGGCTGGAGGTGAAACCTCGGCAGCCCTCACCAGTGCCACCCTGTGCATGCTGCCGAGGTGTGTGTGGGCATACCTGGGGAGTGCCGAGGGCATCTTAAGCAGGGGGAGAAAGCAAAGCAAACAGCAGAAATACTTTGAGGAAGCATCTTTGGGCACAGAGGGTGAGAAGATGCCGTTGAGAGACTGGAATGGTGAACACAGGCATCCTGAGCCTGCCTGGCAGCATCTCAGGGACACCCACTGCACCCTGGTTGCCTGCCCGCCAGCTCGGGACCGTACCCTGCCTCCCCTGTGGTGGCATGGGGCCATGCAGACCAGCTTGGGAGCCTTGTCCGCCCCCTCAGTCCCCTATCTTCACCCTTGCAACTGTACTTCATGTGCTGGGCGGGGAAATGCTTGTCCGTGACTGTCACTAAGCGTTACCACCTTCTCTTCGTACAGTTGCTGCTGAGAAGAGGGTGCCAGTGATGCCTGGATCGCCCGTGGAAGTGAAGATACAGTCCAGGTCCTCTCCTCCCAACATGCCACCGCTGCCACCTGTGAACCCTGGCGGCCCCCGGCCTGTGTCCTTCACCCCAACTGCACGTAAGACCCCAATAACGCTGCTTTTCCCTGGGACCAGCTTGAGCCGGGAGGAAAGGTTCTGCTTGTAGAAGTCACCAGGGATCTCAGCCATCGGCCAGGGCTGCTCGCCAGCATGGCGAGTGTTAGTCATGCTGCAGGGCTGTAAGGAAGGGGCAGAGAGGGACGGGCTTTCCTGCTATTCTGCTATGTATGCAGGATGTATAGCAGGGTCTGTAATCCCTCCCTACCCCCCTGCCTGCTCCTACCTTACTCCTGGTGCTACCTTGAGTCCTTCTCCTTGCAGGTGCAGCCTTGATTTCTGCCATAAACTCTTTAAGAAATTGAAGTCTTTTATCAGGTCAGCTTCAAACAAGCTAAGAGCTAGGCTTTTCACTGTATCCTCTGGAGGAGTTAATTCCCGCTCTGCTGTATCTCATTTTGCAGACAGTGTTTCTGCAGCTGAGATTAGAAAGTTTTCCTTTTTTTTAATTTCCCAGCCTCGGAAATTCCTTGCTGTCCATCCAGCTTCTCTTTTCTCCATCTTCGCTTTATAATCTTTGCTATTAAGCTGCAGTAGATCCTGGCCCTGCCCAGCTGCAGCGCAGCCTCATGCCCACTTCTTCTGGCAGGGGGTTGCACAGAGGTGATTCTGCAGATGGGATGGACGTACAGCCTTTTCTCACAGCCTAGAAAGAGCACAGACTGTTGGTTTGTTTTTTTTTTTCTCCCTTAGCTGATATTTCAGCCACTTAATGTATTTTAAAAAGCATCGTTCTAGAGCAAAGCTGCTTTACTTTGTGGGAATGGAGTTATCTGACCCCGGCATGTGGCATGTACATATTTTCCAGGCTTTCCTCACCTCTTTTCCCCTGCGCTGAGCATCTCCCTAGCTGGTTCTGCATTGCTTTGCTGTCCACGATGGTGTCTGAGATATCTCAGTTTCACACTGGCAGTGGATTTCGGAGATTTACAATCCAGCCTCTTTCAGGACACACACTAATGCATTGCATGATGCTGGCAATAGCACTAATCGCCGGGTTATCCCTCCAGACACGTTGTCCCCATCTTTATGCGCTGAGGGGTTTTTAATGGCTCTCCTTTTGCTCAGGCAGAAAAAGACCATTAGCAAAGTGACAGAAATTAATTTTTCCAATGAGGTTGCTTGGCATACTGCTAAGGGCCAAGGAGCCTGAATCTGCTGATCGCAGATGACTTAATTGCTCTTTCCAAGAGAGATGAGAGATGCAACGTGTGGTGAAGTTTATTCTTGCTTTTTACTTCTCAGTTGCACCAAAGGGTCTTTGTCAGAGTCAGTGGGTATGTATCCAGCCCTGTAAAAGCCCACAGCTTGGGCAGGCAAGGAGGAGCGTGCTGGAGGAAGGCCATGCCTGCCTGCAGATAGTAACAAAAGGGTTGGGGAAACGGGGAAAGCCTTTGAGTATTGAGGTCCTAAGGCAGAATTTAACAGAGCAGCCCTAGAAGATAACTTTTATGTTTCCAGGAATTTAGCATCCCCCTCTCCCCCCACTTGTAATCCCACCAGTCTGGGTACACCACCTCACTTGCTTCATCACTGTCCTCCCACCTGGAAATAGAGGCCCCAGCCCAGCAATGTGGTCTGTGGCAGAGCAGGTTCTGGCGACGCGCAGGATCAGATAACTGCCAGTCGCCCTGCGGTAACACGGTTTGCAGGAGGGTCAGGCAGAGTAAGCCTAAAAATGCAGAGAGCGGTTACAGGGCTGCATCTAATGGCAGCCCCGAGATGACTCAGCTTGCTCCGCTTCCGTGGCATCACCTGAGTCCATCAGCCTCTGCTGTTCCCATCCTTGACAGCCTCTCCCAAGGGTCCCCCACAGCCCCTGGGTGGGTCACACAGTCCCTGCTCTCCTTAGGTTTAAATTTGAAAGAATAAGAGAGAGCAAAATAGAGAAGGGAGTAAAGCACCTTGGTCGCAGCTGCTGGAGAGTGCGGAGCTGCACAGCCCTCCTCTGTTTGAGAGAAGCTTCTCTGGGTGACTTACCCCCCTATTTATAACACGCTTATCATGAAATAAATGCTCTTTATGAGTAATTGCCAGAAGCCTTGCCTTTCACATAGCTCTGTGTTTGCTGATGCTGCTGTCTCTGCAGGTCATCTCTGTTCATTTGCTGCTTTGGGGAGGCCGGTGTGGACAGGAGTTTTTCAGGTTGCATTGGTCCATAACAAAAGGCGTGAGCTTGCTTTGCCTTTGCACTTCCATCCTCTCAATCCTGGCCTTTGCCTTCATTTCATCATCTCTTTGTCTATGAGAGGACGCATCTTTGTTATGCCCCAGAAGAGCCCATCACCCCCCTGGTTAGCAGGAACCACCTTTGATGGTCTCTTTAGCCTTATCTTTCCCTTGCATCTTAACTGACTCTGGTTAATCTTCTCCGGTTCCCTGCCGTGCTCACCATGGCAGATCCAGGTGCGTGGAGCCCTTCCAGCCTCCAACCCTGGTGTGCCCCAGAGCGGTTTAACTGTTCAAGTACGTCCCGCTGCCTTCTCCAAAAAACCCTCACTGGGGTCATGAGGATTTGGTATGATCCTCGTGAAGCTGCAGCGGAAATTTTGGCATCTTTTTTTGCAAGCTGCTGCTCCATCATGGTGCGTGTCTTCCCCTGCCCCACATGCAAGGAGCAGCTCTGCCAAGTGTCTTCAGTGTTTCTGCTCTGAGCACTGTTGTTTGAAATGGTTTTTATAGCTTGCAGCCTTCTCTTCAGTGCTTGCATCCATAAGGGATTCAAGGCTGGGCTTTTAAGGATAACCCAGTGGATCAGCTAAAACTATATTTACGATGATGTACTTTTCACCTCTAAAATGCTGGGTTTATACTGAGTTGGGGCCCCAAGTGCACAGCTGCTCTTCAGACAGGGCTCTAGATTGCACAACAGTGGCGCAGGGATGTCAACAATTTATTCTAATCCCTTGCCGAGTTCCCAAACTTCCAGCCCTTCAGTCTGTTTCGACATGCTTGCCGCTTACAGGAGGTGAAGTTGCAGATGGGACCAGGTTGGAAAAAACAACCATGTTTGCAAAACTGCCTGTAAATCCCCAGGGAGGTACAGCAGGCAGGCACAGCAGGGCAGGATGCTGTCAGCCATTCTCCAGGCAAGGTGGGACCCTGGCTGTAATGAGCACTGATGACTCGTTGTAAAGGATGAGGCTGGGAAGGATCCTTGGATGGTCTGGAGTAATTTCAGCCTGATATAGACGAGAAAACGCTGCTCAGGCTGTAAACTTTGAGCTAAAGCACATTTAATTCCTTAGGCTGAGCATACGGCAGACTGAGTCATACCCCAGCATTGGCTTTACGCAGCCTGACCCCATGTCCTCCCAGGCCCCTTCAAATGCAAATGGAGGTGTGCCTGCTCTACTGAGCCCTAATCCTGTGGTGTTCAATGGCCCTGGAAATGAAGCTCGCTGAGCGGAGGCTGGCAGAGGAGAGAAATGCCAGGGAAGTCACTGGCTGTGGTGTAAATCAGCACTGAGCAATCCCATAAGGAAAACTCCTGTGGGTGCCTTGGATGGGTGCATGGTTCTTACGTGCTGGTGGCTGCAGGTCAGGGGAAGGTTGAGGAGAAGGCACACACATTGCCCATGACCAGCTCCATAGCTGGGTGCCCTCCGGCACGGTGTGCATGCTCTGCTCTGGCCATAGCCCCTTTTCTGGTTTTTGCCCTGTTTGCTAGTGGCAATTAACCACCAGCAGCAAGCCCTTGTGTGGAAGATGAATCCTCTTAAACACCAGACCACAGGGACGTGCCCATGTGATGCTCAGTAACACTTCTGTCTCCTGTTTGCAGTGCCCAATGGAATAAATCATTCCCCCCCAACGCTGAATGGGGCACCATCCCCACCCCAGAGGTTTAGCAACGGTCCTTCCTCCTCCTCCTCCTCCTCACTGACGAACCAGCAGCTCCCGGCCACGTGCGGTGCCCGGCAGCTCAGCAAGCTGAAGCGCTTCCTGACTACCCTGCAGCAGTTCGGCAATGACATTTCGCCAGAGATTGGGGAGAAGGTCCGGACCCTCGTCCTGGCACTAGTGGTAAGCCCTGCACGCTGACCTGGGCTGCCTTGTTTTTGTCAGACCACTTTGGTGATGGGATCCTGGCAGGCAGTGCGTGCACATGTTACACAATATTATCTGTTTGTGTCTTTATAAGCAGAGTGTTGACTGAGCAAGACTGTGTAATGTGTAATGCTTTCTGCTAAACTTGTTGTCTTCTCTTTTTCTTGTCTTCAGTGGGTTTCAAAAAGCTGTTTGTCCAGTGGCTTTGGCATGAGCTTGGGTGCAGCTGAACTTAAGAAAACTTGGAAGGATTGGGACTAGGCTTTTCTATAAAGGCCACAAGTCTGGTGCCATGGGCTTGCTGGAAGCTGTGGGCTATGCTGGGCTTCTCCATTTCCCCTTGCAAATGAAACTTTTCACACAATTCAGAGGAGCCTGTAGTTTTGTACTAGAGAAGTGTTTTCTTGCTCATGCAGATTTATGATTGCCTGGCCCTGACTGTGGACCAGTTTACCTCTGATGTGTTTCAATACAAAGAAATGCCAGTTCCAGCCACCACTTTGTTAGTGCTGCCCTGACTTCAGTGTGCTCAAACTCAACGCTGCTTTGCTCAGCAAGGCAGCCAGGTGTAATGGAAAAAGCAAGGATGCCGATCGGGAACTGGGTCCCAGCGCTAGCAGGGACTTGCTCTGGAAAGCTGGTAGTGCTTCTCCACTCCTCGGTGTGTAGAGAATATCATGACACTTCAAAGATTTCACTTATGATATGCAGTGAAGTATTTAATGGGTTTTTTTCCTCTTTATGGGCTGCTCCTGCATGTCTTAAACAAGCTCACTAGCATGGCAAAGTTGACTATTGCCAAGGTCTGCAGAGGATGGGAAGGCTGCTGTTGCAGAATAGGAGGTTTGAGCTTCTGCTGTGCTGTTGCTTTTCTGATTGCATATTTGCCTGCATTACCAAAGGCATTGATTCTTTGCTTGTGACAGTCTTAAGGTGCAGCTACAGGAAAAGGCTTGGTAAATAACTTGTATGTATCTTCTGCCCTTCTTCTGCACTCCTACCCTTGGATTTGTGAGAGCTGGAGTTGGTGGCAGTGCGTGCATGCATAATGTGTGTATGCGCTCCTGCCCTTTTGCAGCTATGACAGCTGAAAACACCCTTCAAAAAACAAATGAACAGGTCTTGCTGAGGAATTTTGACTAATATTTGCAGGTATACAAACTGACTGGTAGGAATGCTGTGCAAGCCCATACCCTGGACCGAGACCTTGGAGAACAGCACCACACCGCCTGCCTGGCTGTGGTCTGGTGTGGCACCCAGAGCTGCTCCCAAGCTGATCTCTGCTTTTTGGCGGGTTTCTTTTGAGGCTTAGCATGCAGTGAAGGTAGCTAGACTGCAGGCAGCCTGGAGTATTTCTGCTTCCAGGGTTGGCGTGGGCAGAGCAAACGTGGGTCTGTCCATGGCCTTGGGGGCTTTCACAGCACTTAAGCACTGGATGCAAAATGCTGCTGCTGAAGAAGGAAGGCGTATATATTTCCATGGGCGTAGGGTAGTACCTTAGCTTACCCTTTTGGAAAGGAAATAAGCTGTCCAGGTTCCTCTGACTGTCGTTCTCACCACTGATTGTGGTAATTGCTGCAGGGATGAACTTTGTATGTGCAGGTTATCAAATGCTGCTTGTCCCAGGGAGCACCCAGCCTAAAGGGCCACGGGGGATGCAAGGTCGGGCCAGGAGGGGACCATGCCAGTGGGATGAGCAGTGGGCTGGTGGTGACTTTGTGGATGGTGGATGGATTAGATGAGATGAGCTGAGCTGAAAGGGAGGAAGGAGGAGAGGAAGGTGTGCAGCTCTGAGCAGCTGGAATTGCTGTTTGGCTCCCCGCAGCCTGCCACAGGCCACCTGGCCAGGGTACAGGAGATGCCAGCTGGGTCCTGCTGCCTCCTCAGAGCCAGTCCCTGCCTCCAAGCCCCAGAGCTGGGAGGATGCTGGGCTGGGCAGTGCCTGGCTGTGTGCAGCATTCGCCCCTCGCCTCATGCAGCATTTCTGCTCCATTGGCCTGAGTCTTTTTGGCTGCATTAGGCAGGATCCAATGCAAACATTGTCAGTCCTGTAGTGGCAGATGCAGTCTCCCTTCCAGTTCTGTTCATTTGGAGCCGTTTCCCACATGTCTAAAAATAAGAACAAATTGTCATTTCATTTCTTAATTTCTTTTCTCAGAACTCAACGGTGACAATCGAGGAATTTCACTGCAAGCTCCAAGAGGCGACGAACTTCCCCCTCCGGCCGTTTGTGATTCCCTTTCTGAAGGTGACAGGGAGCTGGTGGGGCTTGCTGACGCTCTGTGTGCCGGTCTGTGCTGCTTGGCAGCATGTCATTGCTGGGAAAGCTCTCGTTTCAAGCACCATGGCAATTTTGTTAAAGTCCAAGACAGACTGCACAGTCCGTAGCAGTGGCCATGTGGGACTGGCTTGCGGAAAGCTAACGTTATAACGAGTGCCACATATGTCTGCTTGTATGTTAGGGATAAAGGAGACAAACCAAGCTCCATTCAGCAGCTTCTGATCCTATAATCTTATTTGCGAATGTTCAGATCTAGAATATTTGAAGTGTTGGCGTACGGAACACGTCTGGGGTGGTTAGATGCTGGAAGCACAGAGCACTTCCTGGGACACTTGGTTTTTGGGTGCACCAACGTCAGGTTAGCAGCTCTTGAGAAAACACAGGTAAATCTGACAGTGCAGATAGCAGGAGCTGGAGGATCCTGAGTGGAGGCCACTGGCTCGAGGTGTTACTGCTCTGAGGGATTATGTGTGCAGAGCAAACCTTCTGCGAATGGCTGGAAACGCCTGCCCACAGCCTGCATAAACCAGACCCATGCTTGTTTTCCAGGCCAACCTCCCGCTGCTGCAGAGAGAGCTGCTGCACTGCGCCCGGGCTGCCAAGCAGACGCCCTCCCAGTACCTGGCGCAGCACGAGCACATCCTGCTGAACACAAACACCACGTCCCCTGCTGACTCCTCTGAGCTGCTGATCGAGGTGAATGGGAATGGGAAGAGGCACAGTCCGGACAGGTAAAACCAGCTATCGTCGCTCTGCCAGGTTCTTGAAGTTGTGGAATTTTTTTCGACTTTGCTGCTGTCAAAGCTTCAAGCAGCATCCAGGGCTAAACTGTAGGATCTTATCAACTCCCAACCACTATTCTGGCTGTTAATAAGACATTGATGATTGTCCTCCTGCACTGTGAATTCAGGTTGGGATCCTCTTTCAGGCAGGTTCTATCCCAGAGGAACTTATTGCGTAGCACTGAAAAGCTAGTCTGGAGAGCCGAGCAGTTCTCCACCTCCACGGGCAGCAAGCGGAGGCACTGTCAGGGCTGGGAAGGATGCAGTTCATTTTCACCACTTTTTTTATTCCAACTTAAAAGTTGTTATGTAATTATGTGGAGTGTGCCTCAAATTTATAAAAACTGTGAAATTTTAATTTGGTCACACTCAGAAAAATGAATCACAACACTTGGGCATCTTGAACTTTTTCTTTGACAGGGTCATTTTGAGGATTTGTTCACAAGTTGAGCATGTTTGGTTTAGCTCCCTGCCTTTACCCCCCAGTAAAATCATTGCTGCCCAAACTCTGCTGTTTCAAAATCTGCATCTTTCCCTTTCCAAGTGCGTTTATGCAGTGCTAATGAATACCTCTTTTTGCTGGTGTGGTTGCAGAAGGGAAGACAGCAGCTTTGAGAGGGAGCCGCTGCCAACAGAGCCTCCGGCCAAGAGGGTGTGCACCATCAGCCCTGCACCCCGGCACAGCCCTGCCCTGACAATCCCCCTGATGAATCCCGGGGGGCAGTTCCACCCCACCCCACCACCCCTCCAGCACTACACCTTGGAAGATATCGCGACCTCCCACCTCTACAGGGACCCCAGCAAGATGTTGGAGCACAGAGAGATTCGGGACAGGCACGGCGCTCTTGGTGAGAAAGCCAGGAGAGCTTTTAGTTGTAGAAGCTGTGAAGTCCAGCAGCTGAGCTTTGGCATCGGTCCTTGCTTGGCCACTCGCACCCAAAGCTGTGTAATGCTGGGCATGTCCTCAGCAGTGATTTTGCAGGGAATTCAGAGAAAACAACTGGCCATGGGAGGTTAAAAATGGGAAGAGTGAGAGTTTGTATTTCCCCGTATAGATGTAAAGGCTGGAGCCACTGAGGATGAGGAGGAAGGACCTGGTGTTTGAGTTGAGTGGAGGGCAGGGAAATAGAAATTAACCTTTCCAAGATCACTAAAGTGGAAAAGCAGAGCCTGACCCCCTTACTCACCCTGTTTCTTCCTGGGTGTGCATGGGATGTGCATGCTGTGTTTCCAATAGGGAGCCTGAATCACAAGCTCTGAGCTCCGTGGGTTTATAATAAGGGAGCCAGGTCCCCAGGCAGGTCAGATCCAGACCCATGAGTGGATTGTAGGACTTCCAAGACAGTGACACGGACAAGGATAAAAGCACCAGTGTGGAATTGTCCCTGTGGTGCTGCCTCCTTGAGATGTATTTTAAATTCCCAGCTATATGTAGCTGGAAATACAGCTCTTTATTATCACTTTGGGGTCACCTTACCTCTCCAGCACTGAAAGCACTCGGTCCATCTAATCGCTCTTCTGGCTGTGGTTTGTTGCAGGTTTGAATGGAGGATACCAGGATGAGCTGGTGGACCACCGCTTAACAGAGAGAGAGTGGGCTGACGAGTGGAAGCATCTTGATCACGTAAGGAATGGCAGGAGGTGTGGGAAGCTCTGTGGGACGCAGCAACCCAGTGTTCCGCCTGCTCCAATTTGTGATTTTCTTGTTGTTGATACAATATCCAGGCTTTCCTAGTGGCTTATAGAGGAACAAGCCACCACAAGAAGGTGGACGGTGAGTAGGGCAGATAGGAGCAGTAGCACTTTCCTGACAGATTTTCTCTGCCCGTGGTCAGTGGAAGCCAAAATCACTCTGGACTAAGCATCTGGAGTTGGGGAGCTTTTCCTGCAGAGCATGGCCGTGTGCTGCCCTGGCTGTCTGAGCAACCAAACCCAACCTTGTCCCTGCATGGGTCTTCTCTGCCACAGCCCTGGCCAGCACTGGACCAGCAAGTGTGCAGATGTGCTATGTGCAGTAAGGATATAGTGCTTACAAAATAAGTAAACCCATCATTATTTTTTTAAAAGATTTTTTTTCCTGAGGTGCCAGCCTTTTATGGGCCTCAACTAGGTGCCGACAGCAAGACTTGGTACTTCTGGCAGACTTTCTGCAGTCAGCTTTTTCCCTCTGAGCAAGGCTGCTCATCCAACCACTTCACTGGAGAGTTTCCCCCAAAGAGAAGGGATTGAAATTCAGCTTTCATCATAAATGCAGAGACCTCATGCTTGCTTATGCTCTAAAGCTGATGGTTTGGTTGGGGTTTTTTTTGTGGGGGAGGTCGAGTAGGGGCCCCATATCTGAATATTTGAGAGTTAGGATGTGGCTATGGAGAGCTGGCACCAGATTCACAGCCAACCCTTGCATGGGCTCCCTATACCCATAGGAAAGCGGTGGCTTTTTTCCCCTCCACCTTTAGGAGCATGGCCTGAAGGTGTTTAGCCACCTCCTGTGGTGACCAAGGCCTTACGGTGCAGGTGTGACCACCTCCTTCCCACCTGGTGCTGCATCCCTGCTCGGTATCGCTGCTGTGCATACAGGTACGGGACCCAATCTTACCCGCCTGTATGAATACTGCATCATCCAAAATACCGTGCTCGGAGCCTGTTCCTGTGAAATGACCTCATGTTTCATTTTCCTGGGATGGTCCCTTGGGCAAGAAATTCGGGAGATGACCTCTTGAGCAGGACTGAAAACTCATTCCTCCCTGCAGGCACTGAACTGCATCATGGAGATGGTGGAGAAGACCCGGCGCTCAATGGCCGTGCTGCGGCGCTGTCAGGAGGCCGATCGGGAAGAGCTCAACTACTGGAAGAGGCGGTGCAGCGAGACGGCAGAACCGCGGAAGGCGGGCAGTGAGCTCATCTCCAGGCAGCACAGCCCCAGCAGCTCCGACTCCATCAGCAGCGGTAAGCGAGGGGTGGGTGTGGTGCGCCAGGACCTTTTTAAGTAAGTGTCTAATGAGGATAAAGCTATATTAGGCATAAAGTGATGATAATACATTCAAATTATTATATAAATTAAACACTTAAGCAGTGCATAGCTGTTCTCAAAGCTTTGAAGAGAGACAAGTCAATGGACACGTTGAAGCTCCTGGGTGAGCTCCTGAAAGCAGCATTTGCTAACGTCTGAAGGCACCTTCGGGGGGCAGCAGCAGCTTCTGCTAGTGCCAGGAGAAGAGCATCTTCCTTGTCACTGAGCCATACTTGCTGACCAAACCGAGCCAAGTTCATCCAAAGCTGAGAAACCAGGGGGTGAAAAGGCAGGAGAGGTGGTTGATTCCACCCCTCTTCCCCTTCCAGTTTGTCTTGCCTAAAGGATTTTAAATGTCAGGGTCTACTAATTCTAAAAATGCTGAAGACTGCTCTAAGTCTAAGAGCTACTACCTGAGTTACCAATTCTATTTTTATATCATGAGTCAACTTAACTTTATTAAAGCTGACTATTTGTCCCCTCCAGTATGCAGGGGTTTTGACCCTATACAAGAAATAAGTCTAAAATGGTGACTTTATTCATTTGGATGTTATTCTGATTTCCATCCAAACAAATACGCTGCAAATCAAATGCTGAAAAAAAACCCCAAAAAACTGATCATTCAATAATAAAAATGGATGTTGTCTAACAATAAGAATAAAGGTAAAACTAAAAATCTCAATTAGATATATTCCACTTGTTTGTATTCAAAATAAAGACTGAATCCTCCTGCAAGGAAACCAAGCGCCCATGGCTCCAGCTGTAACTGCAGAGCGGCCTGGATGTATGCAATGACCTGATGAGCACAGCTGGCTTTTAGCCCTTCTATATTTAAGTATATTGTGACTAATACACTTACAGCCCCATGTTCTTAAAGGTGATGTAATTTAATTTTTTTTTTATAAATTGGGAATGTTGTTGATGCTTTCTCCCCTCATGGGACCTAGGGCTAATTTTCAAGCTCCATTGCTGTTGCAAGAAGGTGCAGTTAAACATCAAGAAGCATCCCAGGTGTGCCGCAGGCTTAAATAACCTCACCACCTTCCTGGAGTGCTTTTGTTCTCCTACCAGCCTTTGACATGAATCAGTTTTTGTTCTGACCCTTCAGAAAGTTACTCTGAAGCCTTAAAAAAAGGGATGCAGATAAAACACAGGATGAGCTTCTGAAAAGCTTCCCTGTGTGACTGCAGTCCATGTTTAGGTCCTTGCGTGACTCTCCCCATCTGTCCCGTAGGCTCTTTGTAGGCTTATGGGTGCTGGGGAATGTATATACCTCTTGCTGTAAGAGGTCTTGCAGGACAGTTTGTCCATCAATTCAAGCCTTTGAATTGCCCCTGGAAGTGGAAAGTGCTGCGTTTAATGTAAACTGCTGGTCATATAGATTGATGCTCGAAGTTGCTGGACAGTGCAGATGTTTGATGGCATGTATTTATAAGCATTGCCGGTTGTTCTAGAGTACCAGGAGATGGAAATGGGTTATACAGCGTCATAAATTATGCAAGGCACTAATTAAATGTTGTAATTTATCATCTGAGTGTTTGATGAATGGCTTCAACTGTAGGAATCCTGTGCTTTGAGTTTTAGCTGGTTAATTCTACCCTGCCCCATGATGTACTGAGGTACTGCTGGGCACTTAAGCAGCAGTTGGGTGAGACGAGGCTTTGCCAACCTTTCCCTGTGTCCCTTATTCCAACAGATTCATTGCGGGAGTTCAGCAACAGGTCGGGAACAGGCTACGTCACTGAAGAGATATGGAAAAAAGCTGGTATGTGTTTGCTAGTAATCTCGGCGAGGGATTCTGCCAGGTCAGTTGAGATAAACACAGATGCTGCAGATTTGCTCTGCAGAAACAGGAGAATCCCAGCTGCAGGAACGCCCCAGGATGTGCACATCTGGCTACCAACAGCCCCGGCGTGGGTTTTCCAAAGGGCTCTGCTCCTTCTGTACGATGCCAGTGGGGATCCTGTGGGGCTGAGCCTGGCCTTGCCGCACCCAGGAGCGGTCATAATGCTGGTGCTGACCATGACCCACAGACATCCCAGTCACAGGGAACACGCTGCTGCCTCTCGATGTCTCCCAGAGGCTCACCACGCTCCTTGGGCAGGTTGTGAAGCTGCTTTTTTTCTTCCAGAAGAAGCCGTGAATGAGGTGAAGCGCCAGGCCATGTCAGAGGTGCAGAAAGCGGTGGCGGAAGCCGAGCAGAAGGCATTTGAGATGATTGCCTCCGAGAGGGCTCGGATGGAGCAGACCATCGCAGACGCCAAGCGCCAGGCCACCGAGGATGCTTTCTTAGTGATAAACGAACAGGAGGAGTCTACAGAGGTAAGGTGCCCCGGGACCTCCTAGGAAGGGACTTCCAAAGACTTACAAGGTCTCCAGGTCCTGCCTGGCAGTGACTCGGAGCCTGCGGGTCCCCTGTCCCTTTTCCCTTTTAAAAGTCTCTCTCCAATCAATAACTAAAAGGATGCATTGGTACCCTAAAAAAAACGTTTTGATTTTGATTTTGCTGGCAGGGGAATCAGCCTAAGTAAGTTACTAAGCCTCATATCACCTAGTGAGATATTTGCATGTTGGAAAAGAAGGGATGACTCTTAGTTTGTCATAGCCAGTGACACCTGCTGAATGAGTGTCTCTTAGAGAATTTCTTTCTACTCTTCAATTGTTAATTACCTTCACTGTTCCTTAACTGGAAGCTCACTTCATTAAGCTTTGGAGATCTCAGCTGGACTGGGCAAGGAAAATTGCATGGTTAATTCCTGCATCACCACAGCCCAGCCACATGTGGTTTGCTTCATTTTATTTTCTCCACACAAACGCAAGAGCAGAGGCTTTGCCTCTGTTTCTGCCAAGCAAGAATATGATGGGAATGTGGAGTTAATGTCCTCTGGGGCTGTGTGGGCAGCAAGTCTGTTTCCCTCCTCCTGTGGGATTTCAGTTCACCCTGCTGACTGGGGCTTGGGAAGCTCTGGTGCTGGGTTCTCATACACGACAGGAACCACGTAAATATTAGGTGTTGTTACAAAGAAGTATGTGTATACTCTGATATTTCCCAATTAAATCACTGAAGGTTGAATGTACCCGTTGATAAACATATGATGGGAGTGGGTGGAACTGCTCAGGAAGCCATGGAAGAAATGAGACAAGCAATGATTTCTCCATAGGGGAATACCAGAGGAGTGTCCTCCTACTCCAGCTGTCCCGGGGAGCAATGCGGGACCTCAGCAGCAGCCGAGCATCCCCCCGCCAGCACACTCCCATGCAAGCCCCAGAGCCCTTCTCTAAAGGCCGTGTTGAAAAGCTGTCACGTATTCTGGCATGCTGTGTAACCTTTGAAATACAGTTTAAAAACACCGCTTGAAGTGTAAACAGCTGTAAAGCAGTGACCCAGTTTTCCAAGAGTTAGTGCAGGCTTTGGTAGGGGGTTTTTTTGGTCACGAGTCCTTCTTCTGGAGGACTGAGGAGCCTCAGGGACACGCTGGCTCTGGAGCAGCTTGCTCCCAACCACCTCACTTTCGTGCTTCGCTGCTAGCCCATAAATCATCTCCATGAGCTGGTGGCTCCAGCGCAGACCCCAGGAGCGGGGAAACTCACTGCCCTTCCTCACAACACGGCTGTCCGATACAGGCCAGCATCTCCCACCACCCCGCTTTCCTGCTTCAACAGCTTTTTGCTTGTGGGCACAGAAGCGGTGGCCAGCGAACGGTGCCCCATTGGGCAGGGTTAGAGGCAGGCAGGCTCCGGCAGAGGCTGCTTTTCCGCAGCTGAACTTGTCCTCCCCACTATGCAATTGCTAACGTGTGAGTCCAGCTGCAGGAAAGCTAATCCGCCTGCTCCCCTCCTCGGAGCAGCTGCAGCCGCAGCTCCCGGCGCTGGCCCCTTGCCCCCACACTCATAAGGAAGCAGTGGCACGCCGTAAGCCCACCAGCTGACGCCTCTCCCAGCGGCCAGAGGGGCTTTGCTCAGCTTCCAGATTGAAGCTCAGGCTCTGGCAGTGCTTCCACCTGTCTGGGAGGCTTTCAAATGAGCTTTTTCTTTTCCAAATTAGCCTGCTCCGACCTCTTGTGCAGCTAGGCAGGGTGCAAAGCAAATGGTGCCTGTGCAGCACGCTGTAATCCCTGCAGAGAGCACTTGGCTGGGAGCAATACCAAAATAGAGCTGCTTAAAACAGGAAATAAAAAGACCGAATAGCAGCATCTGCAGCGTGTTTTTTAGTCCTTGCCTGCTGTTTCCTCTCTGCATTTGGGTGGATCTAGGGGAGAGGATATGACCGGTGCAGTTTGGAAGGTGGTTTCAGGCAGAACGGAGGAGTAGGGGTTAGTATCTTTGGCAAAGGGCTGTGAAATAGAAGGAATTAATGGTTTGCTCATTTTAATATTACTAAATCTAGGCCAGAGGGCAATGAACAGTCCCCTCCAGAGCTGTTGAGTCAGCACCATCCTGCAGCTCTTGGAAACTAAACCCATTTTCAAGTGTGGCGTCTTTGGTCTTGCAGAGTTGCTGGAACTGCGGTCGCAAAGCGAGCGAGACATGCAGCGGCTGCAACATCGCCCGGTACTGCGGCTCCTTCTGCCAGCACAAGGACTGGGAGAGGCACCACCGAATCTGTGGCCAAGGCCTGCACGGCCAGAGCAAGCCGCTGGCTCTGCCCACAGGCCGATCGGCAGCCGCTGCTGCCAAGACCCTTGACGGTGTGCCCAGCCCGGCCCTCGAGAAGACTTCGGCGACCACCTCCCGGTCCTCCACCCCGGCATCCGTGACAGCAATAGATACGAACGGACTCTAAATGGGAAGTTTTGGTTCAGTCCATTTGATTAGTTCCCCTGGGGTTTTTTAAGCCAAAAGAACCCCCCACAGCAACTTGTATCACTTGACATATTTGACACATCACGCCGCCTCCTCAGAGCGCCAACACTTGGGGCTTTGCCATCTCATTCTGGCTTTTTTCTTTTGTGGCATATGAAGAACTGGGGCCAGCCTTGCCCGCGGCACCTCCATGCCCGTCTCTCTGCAGGGGGGTACCAGAGCATCATTCAGGACCTAGAGGAGGCCAGGCACTTGCTCGGGAGGACTTGGACTTGGTGGAGAGCACTGCTGGCACACACAGGAGATGCTGAGCCCTGTCCTCATGGGTCAAACGTGCTCAAGCTCCTTTCCTGAGGTGCCTGAGCCACCTCCTCCTTCAGCTAACTTTCTCCCATAGTATGCATCTATCTTTTTTTCCCTTGCTCCCAGACAGCAGTGTCTAAGATGGCCATGCTGGCTGGTTGTTGCTGTGAACAGACCGGAGCCAATTTCCCAGCAGGAGCATCTTGTCCTCTAGTGCAATGGCAAAAGCCAAGCCCTCTTCTCTTCTGCCTGCAGGTTGGTGGCTGATGATTGCAGAGAGGGAGGAGAAGATTCGTCTGCTCTAAACCAAATGTCAGTACCAGGGAGGTACGGCTAGTCGCTTCTGGATGGCCTGGTTTTAATCCTGTTCTGTGACAGGACAGACAGTTGTGTGTGTTACCCTGGGTGGGACCTTTGCTGGGGGAAAGTGCAGAGCAAATCTGGATTTGTTGCAGGTGTTTATTGCCCTTTCCACCTGGGTACCGTTATTTTGCTATGCAGAAAGTGGTGGTTTTTTTTTTCACTGCATGGAACTTGTTGGTTTGAGAGTTACTGCCGTTGTTTTTGACCAGAGATCCTCATGTGATTGTGATGGATTACTTATAGTCTGTTCTCTTCACACGCATTGGCCAAACTATTAAAATAAATGCAGGACTTGGTGTCCTATGTTGGTTCTTACCCCCAACCCCAGGGGGCTCCTGCAGTGCTGCTTGGATGCCAGCTGCGCTCCTCTCCCCGGAGATGCCCAGGGCTGCACAGCCATCACTGCCTTGTCCAGCCTTCGGAGACTTGAAGATGCAGGCTTGGAGAGCAAGGTCCGGTGGGGATGCCATGGTCAGCCTGGGAAGATCCATCGCTTGGAGCATGCCTGCTGTGGTGCGGAAGGAGGGATTCAGTGCAGTGCAAACCCTATAATGGACACTGACCCTCAGAGCGGCTATTTTGGGGCTTGGTGGGGCTCATCTCAGATGCTTCATGGAGGTCATCAGAGGCACAGCCCATGGGAGGGATGGGCATGTGCCCTCTGGGGAGCTGCACCGATTTCCCACGCTGCACACAAATGGGCTCTAGAAAACCATCTATTCAGCAAAGCCGTGTTTCCGTGACTGTTTTTGTACGATTGCTGCGCTGGAGCCCAATGAGGCGAGTAATTCCCAAATTATTTTTGATTACTTTTTCAATTGGAGGTGAATAATAGAGATGTAATGAATTGTCACTGAGTTTGCAGTGGTATAGCTGGCTGCTGGCTGCTCGGGGATAAGAGAGTGACCCACTGAACCAGCTTTGTCCCTTAGGGAAAGCTGTTTCAGAAGCTGCTGTCATGGCATAGAGCGGGTGATTCCCGTGTCTGCAAGGTTTTATTATGCAAAAAAGCCACAAAGTCGCCTGGTGTTCAAGACAGTTCTCGAGTGGCAGTTGGGAACCTCTCCCTGGTGTCCCCCAGGAGCCGGTGCCGGGACTCCCAGCTGCAGCAGAGCCCTTTGCAGGGACACGGCTCCCAGCTGAGCAAGATGGCGCTGCGCTGCTGGGATTAAGGCAGCCCCAAATGGGGTGGCACTCGAGCCACCCTGACCTGCAGCAGCAGCGAGGCCACAGCAGCCTGGGGAAGGTGACACCCAGCCTGCAGGTGTTTACCCCAAGAGAGACGGAGGCGGCAGGGTGAGCCCCAAATTGTGGCAGCCCCATGCTGCCCTGCCTGCTGCACCTATCACAAAGGTCCTGGGAAGTGGTTCTGTCCAGGCTGCTGTGGCAAAGCTTAAAAAGATTTGCTGTGCTCAAGTCTGTAGCGTGGAGAAGGATGGCATGTCGAGCAGGGAGGAGCAGAAAATGCTTCAGGCTTGCAAGAGCACTGGGGCAGGGGGGCTGCCCTTGCACCCCCACTCCTCTCCCCAGAGCCAGGGGGCTGAAGGGCTTTCCTGCCATAAGGGGACATGTGCGAATTCGGAGCAGCCTCAGGTACACAACGTCTGGTTGCAATGTGCCAATCCTCACCTGCAGTCCTGACCTAACACTGTGGGTCAGTGGCAGCCAACTGCCACGAGGACAGATGCAGAAAGAAGAGGAGGGCAGGGCTGGAAGAAATTGTTTGTAAATAGATTGTCTTCCATAAATCTCATGCAACTTTGATGGCCGTGTACTAAAATGAACCCCAGTGTAAATGAATGAAATACTAACAGTCATGATTAGAACGATTGTTTCTTTTTTTCTTTTTTTTTTTTTTTTTTTTTTTTTAACATGGAATGATAAATGTGAAATTTGGACAGGGGAAGACATTGGGTTGAAGTTTCTATTTTTTTTTGACATTTAATTCTGTAATAGAAATTTGTTACTTCATTCCTGTGCATAACTTATTTAATGTACTGTATAAAGGAACCCAAACTGTTACAGATGTATTTAGTTTGTTCTACTCAAAAGTAGTCAATAAAAAGACTATATTCATCATACAGCTCCCCCTTCCTTTCACCGAAGGAGCAGAGGTTTGCTGTGGTGCTCCGGCCACCATCGTGGTTTCTGTGGGAACGCTGCCGCACTGTGGCCTTGGCCAGGGGAGCTGCAGGGTACGAAAACTTCCTCCCCTGCGGTGGCGGGTCCTGGCGGGGAGCCCCCAGCAAAGCCCAGGAGCAAGTGCAAGCAGAGCTGGCATTCACCCTCATACTCAGTAATTTTGGCTTCATGTTTAAATATGTTCTTTTCTGAGCTTTTTTTTTTTTTTTTTTCATTTGAGCACAGACCAGCCTGCAAGGTGCTGTCACAGCTGGCTTGCAGTGCCACCAGCTGTGTGTCACCCCTAGCCACCTGAGGATGCCCACTGGGCACACCTTTGCCTAATCTGAGGATTTCAAGCTGAAGGCTGCTGCAAACACTAATCCAGTGGTAAAGAAATCCAAAACTGGGGGCCAAACCCCACACTAGTCTGTGGAGCCTGCTGGTGTCCTCTGCAGTGAGCCAAGCCAGCAGCTGGGGAACCCCAAAGCTGGTGCCTGCTGCAGCTCTGCCACGCGTGGGTGCCCATCTCTAACCCTCCCCTGGCTGTGCCCTGTTACAGCTTGACCCTTACCGATGGCCCATGGCTCAACTCTGGCCCCGGCACTTCCCCCATCCCCTCGTGCATGGCCCCCATGGTGGGAAGGAATGCTGCCTGAGCAGTAGGCTGGAGCTGCCTCTGCTGCCCTGTGATTACAGCAAATTGTGGCTTTGGCCAGGGAAATTGGCAGTTACCAATAACTAGGTAAATAATTGGGCACTGGGAGGATGGGTCCCCCATAGAAACTGGGTCAGGCTATGTGCTCACCTTGTCCCTGGCAGGGGGCATTTGCTGTTTGGTCGCCTGAGCCTGCCATGGGACAGGGTTTGATGGTACCTGCCTGACCTGGCAGCAGTGGCTGCTATTTCCCCTCCTCTAATGAGGTGTGTTCCTGATCCCATCTCTGCAGCTCACCCTCCCTGCACCCCAAACCCAGGGAGCCCCTGGGAAGCTCCTGCTGGGACAAAGCAAGGACCCTAAACCCAGTCCCCGTCGTCCCCCCCAAGTTGTGGCCCTACAGTACCAGGTTGGAGGGTGACACTGTGCCGGACATGCCTAGCACAGCTTGTATGCAGTGTCCCAGGATGGAGCTGTACCCACTGCCCCTTCAGCCACAGATTAACTGCATTTTAATTACTGTACCCAGGGACTGAGGAAGAAACAGTCAAATTAATGTTTCTGGGGGTGCTGTTGGGGAGCAGCATCCATGGGGAATGGGAAAAGAGGTTGGGGGGGGCTGGTATCCAGGTGAGAAAGGGTTGGGGTGCGGGCGCACATGGTGAGCCAGGTGTTGGGGACAGGCAGGGGTGCAAGGACAGTGCTGTTTTCCATAGGGCATCTGCTGCCCACCTGGTCCCTGCCCACCATGCCCAGCCCTGCTTGCCCTTGGCAGCACTTGCTCCATGCTGTTTGCAACAGCGCATTTTACACCAGCTCAGCGGATGATCTGCTTCTGCAGCACCAACAAAGAAACCCCAAGTGTGCAACCCATGGGCCACATGAGCTTTGCTCTGCTTCAGCCACAGGGGCTTCCCTGCTCATCTTGTGCCCCCCACCACTGACCCTCGTCACCATTAATTCAGCTACAACCTCTTTCTGGCAGCACTGAAACTGGTGCTAACTCTGGTTTACATTAATTGAGCTGCAAGATGAAGCAACAGAGCTATTAGCCATGCTCACCTTCCCCAGGAGGTGTGCAGTGGTTTATTGGGGGGACGTGCACAGCTGGGGGAGCACGAGTCCAGTCTCAAAGCCATTGCAATGGCACACCTTGCCAGTAATACTTAATTCTTTTTTTTTTCCTATAAAACACTATTCACAATCCATACGAGGTGGCCTGGATCCCACGGGCAGAGCCACTGCTGGCCCAGGGTGGCTCTGGCAGGCCGGGCACAGGGATGACACAGCTGGCCAGAGCCATGTGTCCCAAGACCCTGTGGAGCCTTGGCCTGTCCTCAGAGCAAGGAGGAAGAGGAGCATGGGGAGAAAGAGGAGCCGAGGTGCGAGAGGGGCTGAGGGCTGCTGGGACACAGCGACCAGACCAGTGCTCCCCCAAGGGCTAGGCTGCCACCCCCAAACACAGCTCCCATGAGTGCTGCTGTGAGCGCCCCGCTCCCCCCGGGCAGCACAGAGACTGGCGGGGGGAATAAATAAATTAACATGAAAAGAGCAAAAGGGTAAAACACTACCAGGGACAATGGGCAGACAGCCCCCACCAGCTCGCAGGAGGGGACAAGGGACAGGGAGGTGATGAACACAAGGGAAGGTGACAGCTGTGACAAGGGCTCTGCATCCTTTTGCATGCTGACAGCATCCTGGAAGCGGCTGCCCAGGTCAGTTGTTGTTCATGATCCACCAGGAGGCTGGGGAGAGAGAGGGGAAGGGGTCAAGGATGTGCAGTCAGTGTTAAACAGGGGAGAGAGGTTAGGGGTGGCAGAGATGGGGGATCCAGCCCTGCTTGGGGGCAGCTGAGGCTTTTCTGCAGGTCCCTGGCATCTGGCTCTAAAGCAGCCACCGCCCCAGTGGGGAGTGCAGGTGGCCTGGAGATGGGTGATCCACTTGAGCTGCGGTGACTTCTGCAGGAGGGCACTGGGAATATGGTCAGTGGGACTGGCAGGTCAGGGGGAGCACTGCCAGTGGGGGATTTAGTCCGAATTAATCCATGTTTCATGTTATTTTACACAAGACCCAAAAGTGGTAACAAACTGGGGCTTAATTTGGTCTTGTCTGTCACCAAGCTCTCCCAGTTCCTCACGTCTTCCTCAGATTTCTATTGGCACCATGGGGAACATGAATTTTTCCCAAGCTGATCTCTCCCCTGCTTCAGCACCACTGAGCTGTAAAACTGGACAGAGCCACTGGGACTGACACAGGAGGGCCTGTGCTTTGCAAAGCAGGTTCAGGGATCAGGTGAAAAAAAACAAATGATGCATCAGGTGTATTCAAGACAGGGCTCAGCTTATCTGCTACCCGCAAGTGCCCCCAGCTGCTTGGCTGTCCTGGCTGGAAAGCATCCCCCAGGCAGGGAAGAGGCCCCGCAGGGCTGCCAGCACACACAACCAAACCTGCCAGGGGAAATGGGTCTCACCCTGGTTTGAAGAACACCATTTAGGTCACCCCCAAGTCAATCTTCTGCTCTGGAGGGAGCCAAGATGCCTGTTCCCCGCACTACTCCTGCCCTCTGCAGACCACCTCCGGAGCAGCAGCGTGGGACTGTGGGGGTCCCGCAGCCCCCCAAGCCAGGCCCATGGCCCCCCTCACCTGGGAAGAGCATGGTGGTCAGCAGCTCCGGGGACTCCAGCAAGCTGATGATGGACCGCTGGAAAGTCTTGCTGCAGCTGGACTGCAAATGGCTGTAAAACAGTGTGCAGGTACAGGAGGGTGCAGGGCTTGTGTGTGCCTCACAGTTTATAGGAGAGCAGCTGTGCGCCGGGATCCCTGCCCACGCACAGGGAACAGGGCTGCTTTTGCACCACCCAGAGAAGGACATTCACTCCTGCCCTGCTCCCCAAATCCTTTATCAGGGTGTCCACCTCCTCCGGCTGCAAATGGCCCCAGGGGCACACTGGGCTGAGCAGTCAGCAGCAGGACAAGCTGTGCAAGGAGGGGGAGCCATGGGGGTCCTGGTGGAGCCCTGAGAGAAAACCCCTTCCAGCCCCCCCCACCCAGAGCATGCAGACCCAGCCCCGCACAAGGAAAGCCTCCAACCTTCTCCACGAAGTCACGTCCTGCCAGAACTCATAAAGGATGAAGCAGGCCTCATCTGTCAGCTTGCAGGCAGACACACTGCGGGGACAGGAGCGACCCTGAGATGGGGCCTGGCAAGCTGGCACGGTGTGGCCACATTGGTCCCGCCGGGCCCAGGGGTGAGGGGCACAGGTCAGCACATGAGCCTCACCATGAGGCTTTCAAAGAGCAGTTTGGATGCATCCACAATTTGTGGCTGCCAGGGCCAACACACGGCTCCAGGCGATCACAAACCCAAATTCTTCATGCTTCACAGTTCCTGCAGCCAGGCAGCAGAGGAGCTTTACAGCTATTAAATTGGTCCTTGCTGCTGCCCAAAAACCACCATGTTAAGTGTTCTACCAAGTATTTCTTAGCGCGTCCCTACCACTGCAGCACACAGCCTGACAAAGGAACTCATCCTTCCAGCCCTTCCTTTGGAGTAGGTGTGTGTCATCCCTCGCCCTTCATAGAGAGAAACTGAGGCATGAGTGCAAGGAGCTGAGATCACAGCATAAAACCACAGCTCGCTGCCCCCCGAAGTGATGCTATTTCATCAGGCGATGCTTCCCACGCTCCCTCCTGCTGGAGGAACAGGCTGGAGCTTTCTCCAGTCCATTGGAAGATGATGGAAGGGGAAGCAGCCAGGAGGTGAGAGCAAGGCTGAGGGTGCAGGGCCTGGGGAACCATCTGCACTCAACTGCAGCATCATTAATTCCAGTTGAGGATGAACAATTCCTCCAGCTGCTGCTATGGGCTGCAGGAAGGGACCAAGCCCTGGAGGGGAGAGCAAAGCAAGTCACCCAGCAGCTTGGAGGCCGTGTCCCCCTGCGCAGGGGCTGCAATGCGCTTTGCAATTCCCTGGTGTGAACCAGGACAGCGGAGTCTCCCTGGCTTCACTCCAGCTTTCCACCCATGTGGAGAGCCTGCCCATGCAACTTTACCCAGTTGTCTACACTAACAGTTCTCATGACAGAAAAGCCCATCAATTCCAAGGAAAAAAAATACCATTCTCTCTGCCACATGTGTCAAAACAAGTATCTTCCTTTTGTTTGGACTGAAAACGCAATTTTGTGCTGTTGGAACTGAAGAGCTGAAAAATGACACTTTAAATGGGAACAGCATGAACATTTCCCACTGAAAGTGGCTTGAATCTCCCATGGGAGAAGGAAAGCACCTCTCAAAGAGCAGCTGTGCAATCTCCAGGGACATGCTAGCAGTGGCATGTCACTGAAGTCAGACCTGGGCTCCATCCTCAGCTCTATTCGGAGCTCTGGAGCAGTGCTGGGGGGCAGAGCCTTGGTCTCACACGGGGGTTAGCTGCAGGTGTTCACGGCTACTTCCCACTAGCACTACACACACTTTATATATCGCAATGCTCTGACACGAGCTCTCCCCTTGACTTTTCCCCCATTACTTTTGAGTCCTTCAGTGCTGGAGGAATGCATGCATTCACTTACATGCGCATGCCACAGCCATTCCTGCTGGCATAAAAAACACCCCCTTCCTTGCCAGACGCTGACAAGTGGCTCTTGCTGGGAGTATCTGCAGCAGGAGATGGGACAGGACTGCAGGCAGAGACACTGCTGCAGCTGTGACACTGTCTCATCCTCTCTGCAAGGTCAAACCTCCGTGCGTCAAGCCCACCCTCGCACTGACCAGCACACAAAATACTTCACAAAAAACCCTTTTGTCCCCCAAGGGTGCCATGTCAAAAGCCCCTATTTCTGGGCAAGCCACACCACAAGCAACCCTGCCGCCTGCCACACTTACTGCAGGCAGCTGCTCTGCCCGGCGGTGACCTCTGTGTAGGACCTGAACGCCTGGCGAAACTCCTCAATGCTGCTCATCGCCACCGAGATCTGCCTCTTTGCCACCAGAATGTGCTACAAAGGGACAGCAGACAAGTGGCATCAGCAACTAATCTGTCCCCTCCTGCCCTCCCAGCTCCCACCCTGCTGCAGGACAAGGCAGTGCTGAGCAAGCTCAGCACCGCAGGGGAAGCCGCAAGAAGGCGCTGGCACCACAATGCTGGGGACACCACCAACATAAAGTGGCTTCTTCCTAGCTGGGCAGGTTGCCTTTACAGTGAGGACCGCACCAACAGGAGATGCTCCATCCCCCAGTGGCGGGGTCCTGCTTTGGGGTTGCTGCAGTTCCCTGTGTCCTTCCTCCAGCAGAAAGGGGCCTTGGGACTCCTCCACTGGGGCTTTGCATGGTCTGTGGGCGCTTGGAGCAAACCTGAGGGATTTGGGCACTCACAAGCAGAGTGTTGCCTTCCTCTGGGCTGGCTGTGGGCACTGCCTGGGGCTTTCATGGACCTGATGGAGCTGCATTTGTCCTGTGGATGGTTCCACACCCAGCTTACAGCTCTGACTTCCATCTTGCTACATTGCTGGGCAGCAGACACCCCACCAGACCAAAGCCAGCAGCTCACCCAGGTGACTCCAGTCTCAGGGCACAGGGGCTGCACGACCACACATGTGTGCGAGAGAGGGGATCTGTGCACACTACAGGGTTACCTGCAAACAACAAGCAGCAGGACAGGGACTTACTGCATCCCTTCCTTTGCACACTGCTTCCTCCTTCAGTGGCTCCAGGCGTGGGCTCTGCATTTAACACCACAGGAAAAATCGTTACTGGGAGAACTTTGCAACAAGGTAAAACATAGCAGTAACCCACAGCCCAGCCCAGCTCAGCATGACAGACGGGTACCGCTCTGGGGACATTCCTTTGGGTACCTGGGGGAGAATAGGGATGTGACCTGCACATCTATGGGGCTTGGCGGGTCCAGGCTGACTTGTCAGATCAGCATGGACCATGGAGAAGCCAGGGGAGGGTCAGCAGAGCTGAGAGCAGAAGGGGGGCTTTGGAGACAGCAAGGGATGAGCAGCTTTGCGAGCCCAGGTCTCGTGAATGGGTGCAGCTCTGTAACGATGCCAAGACTGAATACCAGGGCCGTTAGCACAGAGAGAGGTCCCAGCACCAACCTGGCCAGCGTGGAGGTGCAGGGCAGTCCCCAGCCCACCTGCCCTCTGCCACGCACCTTGCACTCTAGTTTCTCGATGAGCTGCTGGAGCCTATTGATCTGTGCCATCCACTGGCTGTTGTCTTCGACACAAACGCCTGCATGAGGAACGGCAGAGATGTGTCACCAAAAAAGCTTGCTTTTGTCATTGTAAAAGCTTGCTCAAGACCTAGGAAACTGCAAAAGCTTCTAAACCCCTGATTTAAACCAAAAAAATGATTTGTTTTTCTCCTGAAACTTTTCCCACTGCTCGATACAACATCCCACAGAAGCTCCAGCTGGCAGCTGGGTGCAATGGTCCAGGCTCTGTCCTGGACCAGCCCCCGCTGTCTCATGCTGCTGCTCCCACACCCACTGCAGGCTCCAGTGGGTCAGAGACACCAACCCAAGGGATGACCAGGCTGCAAATACCTGTCGTTAGCATCCCAGAATAGGGGTCCGTCGGAGACAGACAGACATTCTTCTGTCCTCTGCGCCCACATCGTCTCCCTGACCTCAGGCCAACCGAGGTCTCAGATTTCTTTATGTCCTTTCTGAAAGAATAAAATGCAAAAGAAGGGGTTGAAGTCATTCACTATATGGGTCAGCTTCACAGCAGGCTTGGAAAGGGCAGATCCTGCTCCCAGATGTCCCTCCCAGTGGGACCCCGAGTCCTGCTCCATGCTGCAGTCCCCATGAACAGCGGTGGGGAGAGGGGGAGGATGAGCATGTCCCACCCCATTACCTCTCCCGTCCCGCCTGCTCCTCCACGGTGTCCACAGCACACTCAAGCGAGGCCTGCAGGGACTGCAGCTGGTGCATAGTTTCCCGCAGCAGGAAACGGGTCAGGAACTGCTCCATCTTCGAGGAGGTCTCGTACCTCTGTGGAGAAGAGGATCTGTCAGATGCCTCCGGCTCTGCGCAGGGGAAGCAGAGCCACATCTGGCAGGGGCTGGCACTTAAATAAACCCAACAGGGTGGATTCCAATCAAATTTTTAGTTATTGTAGGAAATGTTGACACTATAGGGCAAAAGCATCCTCTGGGTGCGTGCCTGTGAGGTCACAACAGGGAATGCACAGTGTAAACCCTCCATCCCGACCCCAGCACCCACAGCCCCCAGGAGCTGTGGAGGACTGCAGATGGACACTCCCAAGCTGCAAGGTAAAGGCAGCTTGCAGAAATAGCCCCCAGCTCCAGGGAGGGCTCCTGGGCAGGCAGAGCATCCCTTAGTGCACCCAATGGTTCACAGACTGCTCTGCTTGAATTGGGGATCTTGGGACAAGGCTGGCAGGGCTGAGAGCCTGCAGCAACCCCCCCGGGCACAGGCAGCCCCTTCCAGGGAGCAACCCACCACTTGCAGGACAGGGTGGCAGGCTGGTTTCATGCCCTGTCTCCCCAGGAAGACAGTGCCAAGCCTCTCTGCTCCAATGGAAAGAGATCCCTGCAGAATTTGTAACATGCTTGTGCTCGGGGCCACCCCACAGCCCATCCCCATGTCACCTGCCAAGAGTGAGTGACAGCCCCTGTGAGCCCTAGCCCATCTGCCCTACAGTGTTGGAGGGGCATCTGGCAAGAACATGGGGCTGCGTGCCCCTTCCTCACCACCCTTCTCCCTGGTCTGACATGCAATGTGCACACGATGGGCATTAGTGCTTGGGGGCATGTAAAGGCGGGTCCAGGGGGACACGCAAGAAGCACTGGGGAAAATGAAGGGGTCACTGTGCATCCTGGCAAGAAGGCAAGCTGGCCCAGAGGGCACCCAAACAGTGGGTCAGGATGCACGTCATGCCCCAGGAGCATGTCCGAGAAGCACAGAGAGCTGGGGAAGTGCCTGGGCACACACAGAGGCACCCCAAACTGCTTCCTTTGCCAGCTGTGACCACAGATCCTCTTGGGCAAAAATCTGGGTGCAATGAACAGCCACAGCCTGGAGCATGGCTCCTTTCCACATGCTCTGGGTTCTGCTGGCAGCATGATTCCAACCACTCTACTTTCCTGCTTTCACCTGCTTTTCAGGTCCAGTTTTCACCTGCTTCCTTGAAACCACCTGGAGTTTTGTCCTTGCACTGTTAGACATCCCAAGGGCCTGGGGAAAATCTCCAGGCCCCCAGGGATGAAGACAAGGTACTGAAGGAGGGATGCTCAGTGAGGCAGACAGCAAGGAGACAGGAGGAAAGGCTGAGGCACATAACCAGAGGCAGACACTTCTAGAGCAGGCACAGTTGTCCTCCACTGGGGCTGAGCCAGAGTATCCCTTGCAGAGCAGGTACCTGTGCCTGGTTTGCCCCGTGACTCCTCTTGTTCCACTGCAGGGTGAGGCTCTTCCTCCCTTCCCAGCATCCCTCAGTAGTACAAGTCATGCCAAAGCCTGCAGTCATCATAGACAACGGCAGCAGCTTCACCCGGGCAGGCTTTGCAGGCCAGAAGAAGCCCAAGTTTGTGCTAAGGACCATGTTGCTGCCTCCATGCAGTGCGGGCACAATGTGGGAGACCCAGAGGCATCCCACTACCGCTGAAAGCACAACAGCCTTCACCGTAGCACACAGGACTTACCCACTCAAGCACGGCATCATTGAGGACTGGGATGGCATGGAAAACCTGTGGAACCACCTCTTCTTCTGTGGCCTGAAAGCTCTCCCAGAGGAACAGCCGGTCCTCATGGCCGACTCCCCATCTTGCCCCTCCACCAACAGGGAAAAGGTGGCAGAGGTGCTTTTCGAGAGCTTCGGGGTGCCAGCCCTGCACATGGCTAACACTGGGTTCCTCTCCCTCTGCGCCTATGGCAGAGTCACCGGTCTGGCTGTGGAGGCTGGGGCAGGAGTGTCCCATGCCACCTCCATCTGCCTGGGCCAGACCTGGAGAGAGGCTACCTACTGCCTTGGGGTGGCTGGTGGCTTCCTCTCCAACTACCTGCACAGCCTGCTGATGGAGAGCCCCAATGACCCCTCAGTGCTGAAGGCCTTGAAGAAGAAGACACTGATCCAGCTGAAGAAGCAATGCTGCTATGTCTCCATGGACTATGAAGGAGACGTCTACAACCGAGGTTTCCATCATCCAGCCAGATTTCAAGTCCCCGATGGCCAGTGGATAACCCTGGACAAAGAACGGTTCTACTGCCCAGAGCCGCTCTTCCAACCGAAGCTAGTCCACCAAAGCTCCCCAGGGCTCCATCACTTGGCCTTGCAGAGCCTCCAGAAGGTACCCGACCATGCCAGGAGGGACACAGTGGGTAACATCGTGCTGTCAGGGGGCTCCTCAATGTTTCCTGGTTTTCCCGAGAGGATGTGCTTAGAGTTGAATGCCCTGTTCCATGGCACAGGCTGCCAGATTCAGGTCCTGGCGAGCCCAGAGAGAGGCATAGCAGCCTGGGCAGGGGGCTCGATGGCAGCATCACTCACGTCCTTCCAGCATGCGTGGATGGCAAAGGGCGAGTACCAGGAGCATGGTGCTGAGTACGTGCACAAGATGTTCCAGTAGGCAGATGACGACCATGCATTCAAAGCATCTCACCAAGGGGGCATAACTCCTGCTGCAGGAGGAAGGTCTCCAAAACACTGCCTTCCTCTGGGCAGAACCACGGCAGCGGTGGTGACTGAGGGCCAGCTCCCGTGCTGCTGCAGGGGTGTGAAGTCAATTCAAATGCTCCAAAAGAAATAAACTGCTTTTCATTTATACCCCAGGTTATTTCTGTGCCTGTCCACCATCACTCTATTAAGCATGTGTCCCATCAAGCTGGCAACACAACCACAGCTCGTGCTGTGAATTCAGGCCACGCCAACTGTCTGGGTACAGCTGGTCGACAGCCGAGCCCCAATGCTTCAGGCTGGAGACTGTGCACATCTACAGCACTGCAGCAAAGCTGTCTTTTTTGAATGCACTGCCTGCAGCTGCTGGCACAGGGAAGGGGGCTGCTCCAGCAGGCAGGGAAGCTCCTTCCAGCAGTCAGTGCAGCAGGACCCCTGAGGTCCATGGGGAGCCACAGGGGTGGGAGGAACGAGCTGAGGAGGAGAACGTTCACACAGCACCTGCACTGCAGCAACTTTACTATGGGAGGTGATTTCTGATCTTGGCACTGAAGCGGCTCAGCACTGGATACAGAGGATGAGCTGGTGAAAACCGGGGAACTGAATTCGCTCTTTGCAATTTTGGTATAAAGGTCATCTGGTGCTTCAAGGAGCCAATTCAGCTCACTGAACAGGCAGAAAAGCACTCACCTGGCTTTGCTGCTGCTTTAGTGAACTGATTCAGCAGACAACTAGAAAAGGATCAGAGGTTGCATGGAGGAAGCACTGCCCAGCTGTCATAGCAGACTCCCTTCCCCATGGCCAGCCCCTGTGCCCAGCTCCTCAAGGGGCACAGAAACCACGGGATATCACTGTGAGCATTAAGAGAGACAGAACTGGCAGCGGGAGGTCAAGGAAGGAGTTTCTGCATGATGTAGGAGGGCTGGTTGCTCCACAGGAGCATCCACCAGAGAGGTCAACCCCTTTCCTTGACAAGACAAGGAGACAGACTGGACCAGAGTCACCTCTGCCTTCCCTGTGGTGTCTTCATGTGCCCCCAAGGCTGCAGCACAGTCCAGGAGCCAGGCTGCCTTCATCCCCTGCCATGAGCACCATGAACTCCCTCTTTCATGTCCAAAATGGAGTCCAGCAATGCTACCACATCACTCAGGTCAAATATTTCCAATTCCTAACTGCATTTCTCTCCAACACGCAGGAGAACTGAGGGTCTTGAATTCCAGAAGCTCTGCACAAAAGCACGTAACCCTTCCGATGCTAGTGTCAAAAATCTGTTGGTGAGGGTTTACAGCAGGGAGGGTCTTGAGCCCCACATGGTTTTCTGGTTCCTCTGTGCCACAGCCAAGCCACCAGCCCAGTCCCAGAGCTGCGTCTGCCTGGGGCTGCTAGCACAGCTGCAGCTGGCCAGGAGGGGAAGGTAAGTGGAGAGGATGCTCATCTACCAAGCACTGCCCTGGGCTCATGCTGGAGTGGGCAAAGGACGGCCACAGCCACTCCCCACGCCCCCCCACCACCTGGGCGAGCAGAGCCCTCTGCCCAGAGGCCATGCTCCCAGTGGGTTTTCATCCATGCTTGAAAATGAATCTCATTTTTCTGCCAGAAGAAGAGGATGGCAGTGAAGCCGATCCGATGCAGCCATGGGAAGCTGAGGTCCAGCTCTGCATCTCTGGGCTTTCCCCAGCCAAGCATCGCACCTGTTCCCACAAGCCCTCCTTCTCCACGGCCTCAGAAGATGGAGAGCATGGGGCCGCGGACCCCAGGCAGGGACCCTGCTGCTCCCCCTGCACACTCCTTCTCCTCACTCCCAAGGGGTGCAGGCACTGAAATCCCTGCCAGCGCTGCTCCTCTGTGCTTGCTCAGCTCCTGTCAGCCCAGACATGCATCCCCTGCTTACAGGGGAACAACCAACACTCAAAGGACAAGCCTGAGAAAGAAAGGTGAGGAATACTAATTGACTGAGTCCCCACTGGGGCACAGCAGAAAGGATACATTATTCATCCACCGCATGGCCGGGCACAGTCCATTTCACTTCAGGAGTTGGTCCAAATCCCAACAGTATCACCCCTCTTTCTGCACAGAGGGCACTTCCCACAGCAAGCAGTCTCTGCAGCCTGTGGACCCATTTAATGAGGTGCGGTCCCATCTCCAATGCATCCTCCCCAGCCCCCCGCCGGCACTGGCTGTGGCCCCACAGCCTTGGCATATGAATGCTTCCCCTTGCACGGGGGCCAGATGCTTCTCCCCAGCCGCATCACCCCCCTTCAAAGGGCCAGGTGCTGGGAGAAGCCCCGGCGTCAAGCCAGCCTCTCAGCACTCCCTGTCCTCTCAACTTTCATCCTGAGGATGGCCTAATCCTGATGTCCTCTGTGGATGATGTTGGTGGATGGAGTTTTATCGCAGGAGCAGGCAGCTGCTCCCACTGACGTCATGTCATGGCTGCAGGAGGCACATTCAGCCAGCCCTGAGCCCCGTAGCTCACCCCAGCACAGTCCTTACACTTTAAACATGCAAGTGCAGGCACCAGCCTAGGGTGCCACCCTGCAAAACCCAACTACCAGCCCAGGGCACACCGTGCTCGGAGGGGACGCTGCTCTGAAGCTCGCCGTGCAGAGGGCTCCCCATCCTCCCGGTTGCAGCACACCCCAGCCCACCTTGCAAGGGCAAAGCAGGATCCCATGTGGACATGTCAGTATTTCAGGCAAGCATTGCACATGACGAGCCAGCTGCCTCCTGTCTCTCGCCTCATCAAACACAGCACGCCCAGGGGAATGCACCAAAGAGAAGGATGGAAATAACCATATCTCAAGAGAGCCTCAAATGCTGTTTCACCCTTCTGTATCAGCTTTGAAAATTTCATGCCAGGGAAAGGAAATCAATTGAAAAATGCACCTTCCCTTCAGCTCAGCTGCCTGGCCCCCTTTGCACTCCTCACTTTGGGGGAAACAAGCAAAACCCTCTTGTAAGGTGTTGCACCACACAGTTCAAACCCCTCTGTAAATACAGGCTCAATAAAAACATGCTCTGTCTCACTGAGCACAGCATTTTCTGCTCATAGCAAAGACTCATGGAAAGGAGTCACAGAGGAAGTAACTCAGCAAGCACAAGACAAGGCTTTTTGGTCGTGGACTGGTATTTCAGCTCCATTGACCCAGATGAAAATCCCAAAGTTGCCAAGAGCTGCTATAATTCTGCTTTTGAGAGGTTTTATTAGTTTCTTATGATGATAGTTAAAGCTCAGGACAGAATGGAATAGGTGACTGCATAATTCCTGCCAAAGGAGAAATAAGAGCACCTGACTTGGAGAGGTATTTATGGGCTAGTTTGCAGTGTCTGCAAACTGGAGAATGGAAAGGTTTTAGCATACAGGTCCCCTGTAAGAAATATCAGACCATTTCCCAAGGTATTTCCACAGTTCACTTCTTACTCTGATGCTATTATATTGCAAACGCAAAGTTTAGCCACAAGATAAGCTTTAATCAGTACACTGCAGCATAGCTATCAAGTTATATTTTACAAATGTAAGTGAGAATGACAGAATTTGGAGAAAAACCCTCCTTTCTTGAAAAGGGATCTTTTCTTTTCCATGTTTCTACCAACCCAGTGAGGAAGGATGGGAGCATAGGAACCCCTAATGATTTGGTTTCCTCCTGCCAACCTGTGGATCCATGACAAACACCCCGGGCAGGTTTGCTGCCCACACATACACTATTGCCTGTAGTAGTTGCAGTCACTTACACAGCGAGAAGGATGAACCCAGCTTGCATTTCCCATGCTTTATCGCAGTGTTTATTCTGCAGTCAACAATGTACGTGGCAGGCAGCAGATCAAGAAGCCTGCCAGCGAGGAGACAGCTGCTGAGACACACCATTGATCCATGCCAGGTACCCTGGCCCGTAGTGACCGTGATGGCACATGCAGAGGTGGGAATCCTTGATACCAAAAAGGCTTTCGGCGGCACTGCTTCAAACCACAGCTCCCAAACACAGAGCTGTGGCATACTGCCTGCGAGCTTTGCTTTCCTTATTTCCCTCTCTCTCCTCCCTGTAGCTCATCACCCTGGCATAGTCTGAGGAACTCTAGCAGGCAAACCTCCCAGGCTCTGCTTTTGTTGTGCCAACAAAGCAGCCCATGCTCTCTGTTTTCCTGCTTGTGAAGAGGGCTTGTATTTACATGAGCCTATTTACAGCTGTCAGTAAGTACCTGGAGGATGCAGGTGTGAGCAATCCTGTGGCAGAAGTAAGGAACTACTGGAGATGGACCATGCCTTAACCAAGAGATGCTGTGGTTCAACTGGTGAGACCCAGCTCAAGTCAGAGATCCCCTTCTCCTTCTAGCTAGCCCAGGTACCACCTCCTCCTCAGGAGTCACATGAAGGTCTCTTAAATACAGCGTGGGAAAAACAGGTAAGGACTGCAGATCCTTCAACATCTGTTGACTCTATAGCCCTGTTTTGGAAGCAGAGCTTTATGGTAAGGGCCGTTGGAGCAGGCAGGTCTCTTCCAGTTTTCTCAGAACACAGCACAGCTGCATCTCCAGCAAAAGCAGCTCGCCAGGATGAAGTTTCATTTGGCTCTTCCAGCAGGGTGGTGGTCTCTGCCAAACTGGGGCTCTCGGTCCTCAGCCATGGTGGCATCAGAGGTGTTTGAACCAACAGAAATGAGGGACAGATGTGTAATAAGGGAAATCTCTGTTCTCTGCCCCCTCCTCTGCCTCAAAGGTGTGAGTTCTGGCTGAAATCCAACCTAATAAACCCACTAACCCTGTAATAGCCCAAGATTGAGTCTCATTCTGGAAACACAAGTGCGGGAATATATTCAGGTCACAGCAGGTAAGAATGCAGCATTTATCATCTCTGCCAGCCTCTGGCAGTGGCAGATTTCCCACAGCTCTGTAAGAGCCCTGACCACAGGGTTGGAGCATTGCCCCCTCCTGCCTTCTCCCCAGCTCAGAGCCCAGTGGACCAGGAAAGCACAGGGGGATGCTTCCCAGGAGGGTCAGTGTCTGCCTCAGGGCACCCAATCAGCACACACCTCACCCAGGTGAAAGCAGAACTGTGAACATTGGGCTGCCCTGGCCCCCTGGCTCCAGGTGGATCCAAACAGGGGTGGAAAAGCGAGTCCACAAAAATCTGTTTCAACAGGGAAAACCTGCTTCTCTTTTCCAGGGAACACCTGTGGCACCAGATACTATGAAGTGAATGAATGCTTCATGCCAATACTGTGAAGCAGTCAGTAATTGCACTGTCTTTTGGAGAAATACATGAATATACAAATTCATTACCAAAAAAAACCCCCAAAACAGAAAAGAACTGAAATAAAGCATAGCTCTCTGAAGAGGATTCATTCTCTCCCTCTGGACTGGCATTTAATAACTGTGAAGGGGGCCAGGCAGCTGAACCAAAGAGAAAATGCATTTTCAAGTGATTCCCTCTCCTGGCATGAAATTTCCCAACGTACAAAGAGACGCTGCTGAGGCTGGGTTTGGCCAGAGGAAAACTCAAAGAGAGACCAAGATCGTGACTGACACTACAGAGGCACAAACACCACTTCGATGACTCTGCAGAGCTGACAGCAGGACTGGTCCCCTTTCGCTTCTCTGTCCAATCAGTAGGTCAGCGGACAGCGTGCACATGGATGATGCCCTTCATCCGCTTCCTACCAAGCATCAAACCACCACATTGAAGAGAAAGAAAGGGTTGACCCTTCCCATAGCTGAAAAGACCATCAGCCCCAAGCACGTGGCTAAACCATTTAATACATTTCAAATGCAAAGGGGGCTGCTGGTCCTCGAGGAAGGTCCCTTCCAGTATCAGCCACTGCTTTTTGTGGCTATATTTAGCCTGTGACGCTGTGCACTGCAGACCTCTGCTCTCCAACGCAGAGGCAGGGGGGACTCACAATTAGCAGCCCTAATTAGCAGCCTCCAATGTGACTCCCATCAGTACAAGCTGCAGGGAGAGGGAGAGCATTCACTGCAGGAATGAACTTGGCACAAGGCTGGGAGTCAATGAATTTCACCATTTCCTACCTTCTCCCAAGCGCCTCGCTGTTTCCCAAAGCAGCCCTCCTGCCACAGTGGTCCTGCCCCCTCTCCAACAGCCAGTTTTTATTGCTCTGAGCACAGGCTGTGCTAAGCAGAAGCTGCTGGGGTCAGTCCAGAGCAGGCTCAACCCTGGAGTCCCCATTTTGCGCCATACTACTTTGTGGAAAAGACCTTGCTTTGGCTGAGATGCAACACACAGATTATCTGCGATGCTCCCAAAAACTGTCCCCAGGCAGGACCCTCCAAGTGGTCTGCAAGGAACTGTTGAAACAGCTGCTGCCAGAGCCCTATGAGGAAGAAATCTCCAGAGCACAAAAGCACTAGCTCTACCCTTCTCCTCCTCCAGCATGGCTCCCCCTCCTCCAGGCATACTGCTGGCTGTGCTGCTGCAGCACTCACTGCACATAGACACAACCAAAGCACACACAGGCAACCCCACTGATCTGGAAGGTATCACATTTGCTGCTTCTAACACTAAGCAAGCAGCTAAGATCACCACAGCTTCTGTTAAGCACCCACCTGCCTTGATGCCCTCCCACAGTCCCATCCTTACCAGCTTGGTTTTGTCCATGGCTGCCAGGACCGCAGTGTTGAGGGCTTCCAGGGCAGAAAGCACATTCCTGTATTCTCCAAGATATGCTGAGAAATAATCTGAAGCAGAAGAGAAGACCATGGTGAGCTTCCCGAGCACCTCCATCTCTGCCTGCCCTGCATCTGCTGCTTCCCACACACAGAGCCCAGCGCTCCAGGGGGTCATTTGCATCCCTCGACAGAGTCATGCTCCCACTTGGACTGAAATGAAGAGTCCTTTCCTATCCTCAGGGACAAAATGTCCCATCCCCTTGGGAAAAGCACAGATGTCCTCTGTGCTAGGATTCAGGCACAGGGACTGTCAATGTCACTTGACTGCCCAGTCCTGCCCAGGTCAGATGTGCACAAAGTCCCACCACAGACACAGAATATCACCGTACTTACCACACAATTTCTCTGTGTCCACGTTACTGCAAGGAACAGAAAAACAAGCTCTTGTTAGATAGTGGGGCTGGTTCGGGAGAAACAGTTGTGGTGAGCAGGGTCTTGAGGGCTTGTCTTGAACCCCCAGTGGATTTACTGCTCCTCCCACATATTTTCAAAAGCTGTATTAGAAAAATAAAAAGCTGAACACATTTAGAGCCAGCAACTCAGGAGCCATGCCCAGCACCTGTAGCACCCAGGCAGGGCTACAGAGCATAACCTCTGCTTTGGGGACTGATGGAGCAAGCAGAGATGCTCCACCAACACCTCCTGAAGCTGGAGTGTCTGTGAAAGCAGGATGGGGCCAGGAGGGAGGTCAGGGGAGGCAGGCAGTGCCCCGTGCCTCTGGGCTAGCCAGCTGGGTTGGCAGCCCCATTTCTGAGCCCTGGAGCTGACAAGCCCCAGAAGCTGCTGCTTCAACCCAACCTCTTCCCCCAAAGGTACAAAGCATTCATCCAGGGCTCCCTCCTCATGTCTCCCTTGATCTCAGCCCAGGTCCTCCCTCATGGCTGCCCCATGGCACCAGGCCACCTCCTCTCCCATCTGCTCATGGATTGCCCCAGCTGCTTCTCCTCTTTCCCTCCTTCAGAGCCCAGGTGATGTGGGGCTGCCTTCAGGCTCCCAGGGCAGGGGACTGGATGCTTTCATGGCCCACGAGAGGGGTTGTTCCTGCCATGAAGGCCATTAAAGCAGGGAGCTGGGTCCAAAAGCCTGGAGGCAGGGGCCAGCCCCCCACCCCTTTTTGGTAACAGAGAGCACTTCACTGGAAAATTAATGCTGGCATCCCTGCGGGGCTTGGACGGGTCCCTCCTGTTGCTAATAAAGGTGCTGCTGGGGTGGAGAGGGAGGAGGAAACATCCAGAAATGGCCATGTTTTCGGGACAGGATGGCAAGCAGAACAGCGGGTTCACATGAAGCTGTCAGATCCGCTCAGTTGGCCAAAGCCATGGAGGCAGAGCTGCTTGCTGTCCTGGTTTCAGATGGGACAGAGTTAATTGTCTTCCTAGTAGCTGGTACAGTGCTATGTTTTGAGTTCAGTATGAGAAGAATGTTGGTAACACTGATGTTTTCAGTTGTTGCTAAGTAGTGTTTAGTCTAAAGTCAAGGATTTTTCAGCGTCTCATGCCCAGCCAGCAAGAAAGCTGGAGGGGCACAAGAAGTTGGCACAGGACACAGCCAGGGCACCTGACCCAAACTGGCCAACAGAGTATTCCATACCATGGGACGTCCCATCTAGTATAGGAACTGGGGAGTGGGGGCGGGGAATCACCGCTCGGGAACTAACAGGGAATCGATCGGCAGGTGGTGAGCAATTGCACTGTGCATCACTTGTATATTCTAATCCTTTTATTATTACTATTGTAATTTTATTAGTGTTACCATTATCATTATTAGTTTCCTCTCTTCTGTTCTATTAAACTGTTCTTATCTCAACCCACGAGTTTTACTTCTTTTCCCAATTTTCTCCCCCATCCCACTGGGTAGGGGGGAAGTGAGCGAGCGGCTGCATGGTGCTTAGTTGCTGGCTGGGATTAAACCACAACACTTGCAATGCCTGGCATCACCTGCAGAGCCTGCAGGGAAATGCCCCAGGATATCATTTATTCAAATCAGCCTCTGCTCAAGAAATTTTGCTGTCTCAAAATCCCCTAAATGATTATAACCATTTTTAATCCTGATTGGTAGAGTGGAAGAGAGCACAAAACAGTTTAAGTGTTTAAGTGCTGTCACACATGGAGGAACTGGTGATACCTGGAGTTTGCTGGGCTCCAAGCATGAGGACAGATGCAGTGACACTGTCAAGGAGAAGTCAAACCACGGCCACATCGCCCTGCCCCCACTCTGACACGGCTCATAGGGCGAAGGGGCAAAAACATCCGGAGGTAAAATTAGAGGAGAGTGTGTGAAGTGTCCAAAATGCCATGCCAGGAACAGGTATAATAATATAAGCAAAATCTTCCTACAGCTTTTCCCCCAAACACCAAAGGCGGGTTTCTATGTCTCTCTGCTGGGCTTCACTTGGTTTACTTTAATAACAGGCAGTGCTTCAAATCACAGAAATATTTTGGTGTGAGACATCATCACAGACCCACAGCAGTGGGACTGCAGACCCCTCTGTTTAGCTAATTGCATCAGTCACCTTCTTAGGCAATGGAGATGGGCAGTTTTAGGCTGTGATTTGGCTCATCTTTTTTAAACACCTACCACAGGAGCTGATTAAGACGGGGCTCTGGCACACTGTCCTGGCACTGCAGACAGTTTTTAAAGTTGATAAAAAAATAGTGTTTCCCTTGAGACGCAATATAGATAATCAGCAAAACCACAGCCCCTTCTTCTGACTCCACTCCATCAAATTTTGCTGATCCCATCTCTGAGCAGCTCCATGAATCCGACCACAGCTCTGCTAGATAGAGTGGCTGGGGTTTGAAGCACAAATTTAAATTGGAAAAATGTCTTGCTCCTTCTTAATTTTTCCACTTATTTCTGAAAGCTGCCTGGAGCCTGAAGAGCCACTGCTGCTGCATTGCCACAAGAGATTTGGCACTGCAGCATCCACAGCACTGCTTGTTAGACCCATGCCCCAGAGTAATAACTGCGGCCACTGGTTCCCATCCAAGAGATGGGTAAAAATCATAAAAGAGGGGATATGGACATGACATAACAAAATACACAATGTAACACCTAATGCATACGTTACCCAGGCTTTTGCATCTGTCTCCAGTGAGAACCTGGGGCTGGGACTGGTTTCACCAGGAAGAAGGGGCCACCAGCTCAGCCCACTGCCCAGTTCCCCACCTTGCCTCTAGAGAGCAGACATCCATGTGACAAAGACCGATGATCAACACCAACCCTATGGCTTCTAAGGAGAGGCCAGAGATTATTAATCACTCTATCTTGTCTGTTTGCTGCTTAAAAACAAACATTAACCAATCAATCACTAAAACACCGAATAGTTAAACATTGAACCAATCACCAAGATCTTGTGGCAAAAATCAGTCCTTTGGCAGTTGTTCAGTGGAAGATCTGCTCCCTTCCCAACACAGTCTGCTCTGTCAGCAACCTCTTCCCATGTTCTGCATCCTGCGGCAGCCCCCAGGGCACATACAGTTAGGGGCACGACAGAGCATAGCAAGCAAATCACAGGACCAATGGTGCCATTTTCATGCTACCAGAAGCTACTTCATACCAGAAGCCAGGAGGAGCTCATGTAAAGAACCTCATGTCAAATCCTGACCCACTCTGCAGGGCTGCAAGGGGGCAGCAGGCTTTGCTCCACTTCTCTCTGCCATCCTCTCTCCCACTCCAAGAGAAGAGCCATCCTCTGTCTCCAAAGCACTCATCCTGAGACTCTCCACATTTCCACATAGCTGTATTTTGACTGTGCTCAAACCACTGATTAACTGTAATTAAGCTTGAACTGATGATGAAGGATCTTGTCATCATTATGCTGTTGGGATTTTGTCAGAATGTGCCTGGAATTTATGCAAGAAAACAGCAATCAGCTTCAGCAAAGCAGATGGGAATTTTTTTATTTTTATCATTTATCATGTTGGGAACCTCTGCTGTCATCACACATCTCATTTCCAAACCTTTCCAGTGTGACCCAGAGTCTTTCAGTCACTCTCCATCATTCAGAAACTGACAGACGCTGCGGCTCTGAGTCTCTGACTGAAGAGAGGGGAGGAAAGTTCACACAAGTCCCTTCTTCCACAGAACCAGAGGCTTCAGGTTATTTCTACTGAGATTTTTAAAAAAACACCAGGTCAGCACTCCCACCTCTCTCACTTGTGGTTCAAGGTCAGAGACACATGCTCTGGGCAGTCTGTACCCAATTCCTGCCACTGCCAACTGACTGCTCTCATGCAAAAGAGGATTTGCTAGACCTTATTTTTCTAAATTTTCCTGACAAATGCAGGACAGAAAGACACACGAGGTCCACACGACCCCTCCCTGGGCAGGTTTCATAGTCCCCTGCAAAGAGCAGTAGGCATGCAACCTATGCAACACTACAGCATTCAGTCCAAAGCCCTTGGTAAGCAACTCTCTATTATGTTGTTCCCATGAGACCCTGGGACCTGCTGCCATCCTGCTTGGCTGGACTGCAGACAGACACACGGCTGCTCAGAGAGCAAACCACACTGTGCGTCTCCAAAGACACATCTGCAGCAATGGAGCTTTTCAACCCTTCAAAAACATTTGTCTCTTCTCACCCAGATGTTTCAGTGGATGAAAAGTGCACTTTTCCAGGAAGATGAATCTTTCTGTTCTGCACTAGTGCCAGAGCTTTCTGACAAGTCAAATGAAACAGTGGACCTAGCTGTTGTACCAAATTGCAATAAGGAGTTGAATTTGGTTTCAACATATTTTTTAAAATGTCAAACAATTAGAGCAAGGAGATATTTTAAAGCCAAAATGGAATAATTTTCAGAAATGCAGAACAAAAATAGCCTCATGAGGAAACATAAAACCTGAACCGGACCCAACAGAGATGCCTGATGCACAGGCCACAGCATCCCACCTGAGCGCCGAGTAGATGGGAGGTGGAGTGAAGATCAGATGGGAAGGACAGGGAGAAAAGCAGAGTGTGGTGCCGTGGGCTCTCTGGAAGGAGAGCAAGTAATGTACGAGACCTCTGAAATACTCATCTTCCAAGATGTCAGCTTTGGGAGCCAGGGGAGCAGCTGCAGGTTCACAGTGATGGATGAGGGTCCGGATGTGTCTGGGCAGTGCTCCGTTACTCAGACATGGAGACTGCCTGGGTTTAAAGGTCTCTGTTACTGTCTCTCCTTGAGTCAGGCTGGCACTGACAAAGAAACGCAAGTTTCAGCCTAGAACTGATGAACACAGCACCCTTGTGGCCAAGGGATTAAGGGTGAGACTTTTCTATCACCAAAAAAGCTATGGGACATGAAAGAAGCACGCCAGATAGGTTTGTAGAGCTTGTAGTTGCTTTCCAGCTTTGTGATACTTTGAGTATTACCTTGGATAATAACTCTTGAATCTGGCAGCAAATTTCAGTCAGCTCTCAAAAATGCTAAGTTTCTGCAAATGCAAGGCAAGCAGGCAGGCCAGAGGAGAGGGGCTGCTCAGCCCCCCCCATCAAGGGAACAGCAGGGCACCAGCACTGTACAAAGGAGCCCACTACACACCCCAAAAACAAATGCCAGAAAGTCCAGCTCTAGACACAGAGCCACAGAGACCTCTACGACTACGAGGCCCAGCGTGCTGAACACAGCTTGATTTCCATTACCTGGGAACAGATGGGGCCATGCCTCCCTGAAGACAGGCCTGTCTCTCCAAATCCCGCATCCCAGCAGACAGGCAGCTCTGGGCCAGAATCGGAGCACTCTGGCAGATGCAGTGCTGCCCCACATTGTTTGCAGGGGGCAGGATGCCTCTTACCAGGCAATAAACTGAGCACCAGGCTCCCTCTCTGGGAGGTCCCACCTCCTCCTCCTCCACAAGCTGGGGATGAAGCTGAAGAAATCATGTACAGTTCTCTGCTGCCACCTCCCACATCCCATCCCACTCCCGCCTCCTCACACTGAAGCTGTCCCATGTACTGACCCTGCGCATGTGCATGTGGACCATGTCCCAGCCAGAGACAGAAACAAGAACTACACCTGCAATGGCCTCAGGGCTGGACTTTCCCTTCTGCTCTTGCAGAAATGAGGGCATCCTTGCAGCACTGGAGGGACAGCATCTCCTACATTTGCTTGAAGTCACTGAACACGGGAATTTGGAAACCAGCTTTGTCCGCAGGGTCCCTTCTGCTATTCATGGCAGAAAGAGATCAAAGACCCAACGGTCATGCCCTGCTAATAGATGTCACCAGCTCAAGCTGCAACTACCACGTTGTCATAGCTACCGCACCGTCATTATGGGTAATGAGTTATAGAGAGCACTGCTACAGCCAGGACCATGCACAGCTCTCAGAGACAGTCCGCTCACACTGGGCCCGTCGGTCAGCCCTGTTTATCTGCTCTAGATGGACGGAAGAAGCCTGACCTGAAAGCGATGGTAAACCAGATCTTCACCATTCAGTTAAGGGCACAGTTAAAACTCTCTGCTTTGCTGCAACCCGTGTTTTCCAGCGGTATTGTATGAGGGGTGACTCCAAGGTCACCCCAAAATGGAGTGAAAGGAAAGGAGCACTTGCAGAGGAAAGGAAGTGGCTCACTGCTAAATCCCTTGGGATCACAGCTCAAAGAGACAGCTGTTTTCAGGAGACATCTCCTGCTGCCCACATCCAACAAGCCCAACTGGCAGGACAGGCAGCAATGGGCAGCCAGGCTTAAAAGAAAGCAGCACCAGGGGCTGCACACACCAGCCCACTTCTCTGCCCCACCACTGAAGTGGGAGCATCAGTTAAACCCACCACCCTGACATTTGGCAGGAGTCAACCATCCCCACTCCCCCAGTCCTGGGTGGATGATGTGGGGACTTGCAGCCAGGGACCACTGGGTATCTGCTGTCAGTGGCTCAGTGGCATTCAGTGGCTGTTGGCATCTCAGCGTGGCACAGGCCCTCCGTGCTGCTGTCCTGGCTCCCCTGCTGTCCTGGCTCCCTGAAAAGCCCTGGGGCCAGCATGTGCAGCTAAGGCTGCTCTGAGTTACCTCTCCCTGGAAAGGACCTGCTCAGACACTGCCCTGGCCGAGGGCATCGAAGAGGTGCAGGAGATGCTTCCTGGGGTGCCAGGGAAGTGGCATGAGCCAGAGCCAAGCCTGCCACCCAAGACCGGGAGGAAGCTGCAGCCACCTCCTGCCCCAGCAGCACCTCTCCATCTGAACAGGCAGCCCCCAGACATGCAATTTATCAACAGCCAGTTTCTCCAAGTGCCAAAACATGCTCTTTCACAGCAGCCGGCAGGGCAGAGGGACCCCAGCAAAGCCACACTGATATCCACAAGACTGGGATGAGAAACCCAGCTGAGCCCAACAGACTCCTCTAGATAGCACCAGTCAAGAGGAGACCAGAGCTAAGTGCAATTACTTCTCCTGTTCTTTAGGGGTTTCTTTTTTTAAAAGTAGCTGGCCTAAATTCACAGTTACACTCATAAGGCCCACTTCTGGTGGAAAGCAGCTCTTACGTAAGTGAAAAGCAGTTCCCTGTGTCAGCAGTGGCTAAGTCTCCAACTTTACACAGTCTGTGCATTGTCCTTACACCACCACATGCTCCTCCTGCAGACACACAACCTGCTCTATAGAGCTGTGTATTTCTGGAATACGTTTTTCAAACTAACATGATGTAATTTTAAATGGATGCTTGCTTCTATGGAACTACAGTAAATCTGATAACAACTGTTCTCAAAATGTCTGGCTTCTCTCATCACCAATGCTCGTAGCTGGTGTTCAATGGGTTTTAACATCTGCGTGTTACAAGAGGTAGGTTTATCTCACCCTGACTATTTATCACACCCGCCTCCAAATGTCCTCTATCTACAGTCAAGCAGTTTTATATTCTCCTTCGTCTCCTCTCCTCTGTGCCACCACGGTACTTACTCTGAATGACGCCTGTCAATGCCACTGAACAACTCCCACAGCTCCTCCGAGCTCAGGATCCCATCAGCAAAATAGTTCTTGAACTCCTCAAATGACAGCTTCCCATCATCTGCATTTAAATAAAAGGGAAGAATAATTATATATCTGCAGAAAGAAGCAAACAGGCCCCAGCGATCCTCCCAGCAGCCTCTCTACCGGGAGCGTGGGACGGTTGGGCGTGTTGTGCATAATAATTAGAGCAGATAATCATTGAAAGCATGTCCCACCAGTCCCCATCAAAAACCCAGGAGCGCTGGCAAGCAGGGTCACTGCCGCTGGAATTTCGGGTGGAAATTTCAGCCCCTTCCAAAAGACCCCACTGCATTGTTTTCAGAAATGCATGCAGGCACTCTGTACTTAGATGACTGTCCAAGCTGACTGTCCAAGTATAGAGTCCATTACAAACAGCACAGTGAGGACGGCACCAGGTTTTTATGGAAAGAAAATCTCTCCATTGACTCAAGAGCTTTTTCCTTCTGTCCTGTGGAGGACTTCAGCTCCTGGGCTGCATTTTGATCTGCAACAAAAGCGGCTCCCGAAACCTGCAAGCTACTGTGAAAGAGAAGAGTCCAAGAGGGGGTGGGAAGGCTCAGAGAAACGACTTGTGATTTTTGACTTGGTTTATGGGTGCCAGATTAAAACCCAGGTAGCAGAGCCTAACTCTCAAATGTCAGGGACTCCAGTGTGCATCCAGGAACAGGGCCACCCAAATGGGGACACCTGTGAAACACTAGACTGAGCGCAGAGACTGAATCAATCCTGCAAGGGACGGAGCAGAAAACTGATAGCCCCTGGGCTGCTTGCTGCACAGCTTGCTTTGCCTTCCCTTCTCACTGCTAGCGGTGCACAGGAGAGATCGTGTGCATGCAGGCAGGAGAATGGCTTGGAAGGGGCTCTGTCCTGCATGGCGCATGGATGGTGAAGTGGGGGAGCCCACTTCTCCAGCCCCTAGCGAGGCCCTTTGCTCCAGTGCCTTTTCCTCCAGGTGAAGCAGAAAAGCACTTCTCTTGCAGCCAGAGAGCTGCTTGCCCTTATGCTCCTTCACTTTTTCAGGCAAATCTCCCAGCAGAGATGGGCTGCACTTCTTCCCCCAGACCCCAGCAGGGAGGGGGAGGCAGCAGTAGGAACAAAGCACTCACCGTTCTTGTCAGCTCGACGGAAAATCTGCAAGAAAAAATACAACAGGGTTTAGTGAGGCAGCAGGGAGAGCAGCAGTGCTGAACAGTGAGCCAGGTGGCACCCAGCACTGCGATCATGGGAGAATCACCTCCTCGAGCCTGGGAGAGCCATGCAGAAGCCCCTGCTGCCAGGGCTGTACAGGCCAGCGCTGCACAGGTTGCTCCACAGAAATTCCCCTTTGCAAACAATTAATACCATTTCTTGCCTCCAATGCGCAAAGCTCTCAGCACAGCCACTGCCACCCGAGTGAGCCCAGCACTCACACCGAGCATCTTATAGAGAACACAGAGGGAGACAAAGTAGAAAGGGTTTTGCTACACCCTTGTGATGGAAAGTGTTTAATTTTTCAGACCCTTTAAATGAAAGAACATTAAGCATAAAACCACTCCATAATGGGAGCACTTTGTGCATCACCACTGACACTTCAACCATCTGCACCAAGGAGCAGCTCTTTGTCCCGCACTTTGTAATCACCCTTCACAACAATCCTTCCTGCAACACCTCGACATGCACACACACTGTAATTAAAAATTAATGAACTAATTAATCTGTAACTAATTCTGCCACAGAGCACAGTTGGAGAGCTGCTCCAGTTCAGGGTGTCAAAGCCAGGTTCCCAACCACAAGGCTTCTGCCCACAGCCCAGAAGAAAGCTGGGGCTTCTTAGCCCTGCCTGGCTCCTCTTTCACCAATAATTATCTGAAGGTCTGGGGCTGACTCTGGTAAGGAACAATATAATTTCCAAAGCCTGGGAACATCTTGCAGACTGAACAGTATGAGGTTTTGGCCAGCACATCCTAATGGAGCCAATGACAGAAACTTGTGTGTGTGTAAACTTTCTCCTTTTTAATCATCCTTTTTAATCATCCTGGTTCATGAAGAAATCTGACAGTCTGAAGAAAGATCAGGAATGAAAAAGGGCAGGAAAAAGGGAAAGCAGACTTAATTATATTCTTTTCCATGCAAAGCGGAGACCACTGATAAAACTGCCCCCAGACCAGCTCTTCTCCCTGCCACAGGAAACATGTCACTGCCAGCTGCCCCCTCCGCCCCCAGCTGCCTTCTGCCCACATCTAGCCACTGAAACATCCCTGAAAAATCACTTTGAGGTAAAGAAACAGCTGCCCAGAGAAACCTCCACTGCTCACTCCTGAGGAAGCCGCTGGCTTGCAACTGGGCAGAGGCTTTTCTGATGCTGGTCCCAGTGGGGAGCTCCCTGGTCCTTCCCCACGACCCAAACCAGGAGCCGGGACACCTCCTCCTCGGATGCTCTTCTGAGCAAGGCAAGCTCCTCCCGACCCAAGCTGCTGCAGGGAACGAAGGCTGCCCTGAGCTGACCAGCGTTAGGTAACTGTCCCTCCGGGACGCTGGCTTCCAGCCAGCCAGACTGCTTCCCTTGCAGGAAAGCAGGGCAGGCACTCTCTAAACGCCCCGTAGGACTCACTGGATGCGCTTTGGAGCTTTACCACTACCAGCCGAGACAGGGACCCGCAGCTCCCACGCACTGGGGATTTCTCTGTGTTTTAAAGCACAGCTTTCTCCAGGCTAAAGAGTTTGCTGGTGCATTGTGGGTCTCATGGCTGCAGGGTTACACATGCCAGGGCTCCCCAGGTGCAGAGGCAGCTCTGCCTGCAGGCAGGGGCAGCACCAGCAGGTCCCACATGCCTGTGCCACCCTGCCACCTCCCTGCCTTGGGCACGCCACTTTCTGTCATGGCAAATGCTTAATCCCGCAGAGCTCTCTGTCATCGGAGAGACACATGGCTCATGCAATGACAACTCTATGACTCCAAATGTCACTGAGGCCAGCTAGCTCATCCCAAAGACAGTCAAGTGTCACCCAGGCACTTAAATGCAGATTCAAGTAAGGCCAAACATTGCCCACTCACAGGCTGACCTTGCTCAGCAAGCTCTGTCTGTGGGCTAAGAGGGAGAGCACAATTTTGGGGCGGATCGCATGGGGCTGAGAAGGTCTCTAATTGGGGGTGACCCCATGCTGGGTTCAGCAAGAACCTCAGCAAAGAGAGCTAACACTTCTCCCTCGTGCATGGGATCCTCTGCTCCAGCGGTGTGTAGAAAAGCACTGCCAGTGCACACACAACAGCTGCCTGAAACTCAAAACAAATAAACGTGGCGCAAGCAGCAGAGCTGCAAGAGCCCTGTGAGGTGAGGCCACATCTATTCCATGTCCCCCAGGGATGGCGGGGCTCCTTGCCACTCCCAGCGAGCCCGTCCTCAGCCAAACCCAGCTGCAGAGGGGTGCCTTGGTGAGCGCTGCACGCACCAGAAAACACCGATGGCTCCTGTGCGCGAGGCAGGATCCAACTCCAGCCAAGCAAAAATAGTGCATAGCTGCTTCCATGCTCCACAGAGTGACCCCCGGCCCCCCTGGGGTGTAGCAACGTGGATGGCAATAGCAGGTAAGTGCTGCTCCCAGTGCAAGAGCCCAATGCAGAGAGCAGCCCTGGGACAAAAACAGGGAAAAGTGATGCAAAGCCAGGCTGGGAATGGGATCAGGTCTGTGTCGGCTGCTGGAGAGGCCCTAGAGGCAATCCCTCGCTTGCGCTCGGAGGGCTAGCACTCTCAGAAACACAGGGACACTGCCTCAAGCCCGAGACATTTCCCTTAGCCCTCAACTCCTGGGCTCGGGTCCAAGCATCTGCAGGCCTGCTCGGTGCCTGCAGCAGCAGACACAACTGGGACTGATGGAAGAAGCACTGAACCAGCATTTATTTGGGGATGAACCCCCCACACCCCAGGAAGGAGGGACATTATAGCACTTCTCCCTGCAGGGCTGGAAGCAACCGCGGCTGCTGGACACACAGCCAGGGACACACCAGCTGTTGGGGAGGGGACAGTCGCCCTGGGGACACCATGCTCATTGACCCACTGCAGGTTAATGTGGGCTGTGGCCAAGCGCTGACAATAAATGGTAGGCTGTCCAAGTGGCTTTTCTGAACCTCTCGTACACTGAGAGGGGAATAAGCAAGCCCCGAGCACCAGCCTGGGGGACAAATCTCCCAGAGGCTTGAGATGTCTGCACAGAGAAACAACGGCGATGGCAGCACTGCAGTTTGTACAGCGCCTGCAGCGAAGCATCTCAGGCAAAGCCCTCCTCCTCCTCCTCACCTCTCCTGAAGGCAGGTGATCTGCGGGCAGGGAGACAGTGGCTCCGGTCCCAGGAGAAGCACCAGCTGCCACCCGGGATCTGTCGTGGGCAGCCCTGCCTTCCCACTGCCCAAGGGGCAGGCTGGGATCCTGCCCTGCTGCAGCAGGGGGGCAGCTTGTCCTGACAAGCCTGGGGGGGCAGCTGGAGACCAGCCGACTGCCCAGACCCAAAAGCAGAGATATGAAACTCACCCTGTCAAGCTCCGGAGCTGAGGCAGGAGCAAAGGGAGCCACGGGGAAGAGGAAGGGAAGCCGCCAGAACCCAGAAAGCAGCCGCTAGCACTGTTAACACTTCCCATTTTAATTGCCTTAATGACGCCCTGAGGGATAGATGTGGGACTCTTGAGTGCCCAGAGGAGCTGAGCTAGAACACAGCTGTCACCAACCCCCCCTCCAGCCCATCTTCCATCAGCCAAGTAATTAGTGTGGGTAATGATGCTGGCTGGAGAGCCCTGCAGTCTGAAATCCCCCCACGGCAGGAGGGAGACCCTGACCCCCAGCTGGAAGCTGCAAGCACCACCGCTGCTGAGGGAGGTGCGCTTGCCAGCTGCTCCCTGGTGATGCCAGGAGGTCTCCCAGACAGAGGACCGGACTAGGCATTGCATTCACCTTCCCAAAGTGCTGCCTGAGATCTCCTGCTCCCCTCCTCCAGGATGAGCTAGGACTCGGAGGGTGGCACCACCCAGACTGTGATGGGACTGAGATGACAGCTGGCTCTGTCCTGGGCTGTCCAGGTGCTGGAGCACCACACCAGCCCTCACCCTTAATCCTCACTTGCTTTATCCTCCCCAGTCCCTGCGGCAGGGCAGGGGCAGCACCTCCACTCACGTGTCCCCTTGGGTCCATAGGGTGACTTAGACCCCAGTGGTGCCAGACACAGGGGAATGTGAGGGCTGGTGGCCCACCAGGGAGTTTTGGGCACTGCCCACCTGACCCAGGCACTCTACAGCTCACTAAATATGGCAAGGAGCAGGAGGGTTGAGCACCTCTGATGTGCTCCAACAGTGGAGGTGGGCTTTGACCCAGGCTGTGCCACTTGCCCTGGGAGCTGGCCAGGCATGCAGTCACCTGCCCGCCCTGCCAGGTGCCACAGGGGAAGAGGCGCTGCCTCCCCCAGAGCCCCGGCATGCACAGCTCCCTCTTGACAGGAGCACCCTCGCCATGGGGCTTGAGGGGACGTGGTATGATGGGAGGCACTGTACCAGGACCTGTCTTGTGAAAATGAAAACGACCACTATCCGCATCTTCGACTCGCCCAAGCCACCCACAGCCGCCAGGATGCCTGGCCAACCTCCAACCTGCACAAAGAGCATCTTCCTCCACAACTCCTGGCATGTTAGAAGCGAGCAGGGACGGGGGGCTGCAGCGGGCACTGGACACGCTTTGCCTGTGGGATCCCACGACTTTTAACAGCTACAGAGTACCTTCTGCAGCTTTCCTGCCAGACACACACAGCTCCCGCTCCAGGAGTCACGACAGCCAGCTCTTGATAAGGAGTGGGCTATTTCTAGCCACTCAAAGGCCCATAATTCAGGAAAAGGACACAACGCTGAGTATTATTTAAGACATCACGACCCACGCCTCGAGTCACAGCTGCAGGCTTAGAGCAGCAGCAGGGCCCACTCGCTTGTCCCTTGGGTTTGGTTCCTCAGCTGGGGCAGGCGGGAAAGGGCCTCACCCTGACACCTACACGTGCTGCCCCGCCACGGCTCCCTCTGAGGAGGCACCGCGGCCCGCCTGGCCCGCGCTAGCCCCGGGGCTGGGACAGGGGCTCGCTGGGGGCCCGCCCCGCAGTACTCACGTCGTGGAAGATGGGGAGCGGCTGGTGGCGGGCCGCGGGGCCGCGGTCGGCTGACAGCAGGCACACGGCCAGCAGCTCGGCGCACGCCATCATGGCCCCGCCGGGCGCGGGCGCCGCGGTGCCGTAGGGAGCGCTGCGATGCGGTGCCCCGCGGTACGCTGCCGTAGGGAAGGCTGCGGTGCCGTAGGGAGCGCGGCGCGGAGCTGGACTCGCCCGTACCGCTCCGCAGCCGCCAAGGCAACTTTGCCTCCGCTGAGGGCCCGCCCCGGCGGCGATCCGGTTGGCCGCGACCGGTGATTGGCACCTCAGGACCGTGCCTGTCGTTGGCGGAGGGCCGAGGGGCGGGGCGGCGCTGTGAGGGACGCGGGGGCGTGGGCGCAGGCCGCCGTTGCCCGGGTGCCGCTTGTGCCCGGGGCCTGGTCGGCTGTGAGGTTGCCCCGGGCTGGTCCCAGTTGGATCCAGGGCACCCCACTGTGCTCCCACTTGTCTCCAATGCTGCCCACGGTGGTCCCGGTGCGGCCCTGGGTCGTCGCACTGTGTTGTGACCCTCCCTGGTTGCCCCAGCTGGTGCCAGTTTCGCCATGGGTGGTTCCGGCATGGATGCTGTTGGCCCCAGGGTAGCCCTGGTTGCCCCAGCTGGCCCCACTTTGGCCACGGGTGGTCCCATTGTGGTCCCTGTTGGCCCCAGGGTAGCCCTGGTTGCCCCAGCTGGCCCCACTTTGGCCACGGGTGGTCCCATTGTGGTCCCTGTTGGCCCCAGGGTAGCCCTGGTTGCTCCAGTTGGCCCTGGGGTGGCCCTAGTTTGGCCTTAGGTGGTCCCCTTGTGGTTGCGGCTGGCCCTGGGGTGGTCCCCCAGCCACCCAGAGTGGTTTCAAATGACTGTCCAGTGGTCCCAGCTCCTCCGTGCCCACAGTGCTGGGCAGCCTGTGCTCTCTGCTGCTTCCCTGCAGTGCAGCATGCCGGGCATGAGGGAGTCATACCGATGGCGCTGGGTCCCCAGTACCTCAAGCAGATGTAAAACCCCCTTCCCCCCCAGTCAGGGGCTGCAGGAGTGGGGGACAGGCTGGCTGGGGAGGAGAAGGAGGCAGGAGCTGCCTCCATCCCTGCCCAGCACAGGCGCCCAGAGGCCTGTGTGTGTGGAGAGGAATAGGACGAACACCCATGTCCGTCCTCAAAGGTTTTCACAAACATGAAACAGATAATTAGGTAAATAAACTAGATAAAGCCGTGCCTGGGCAGAGCTTCACACTGCTCCCAGGATACACGCGGTGCGGTGACTTCTTGGGGTGGTGGGCTGCTTCCCATCCTTCTCGGGGTATCCCAATATTTTACTTACAGAAAGGGACACACACCAGTTTTGCCTGGATGCAAAATCCCAGCCAGGCTTGCCTCCAACTGCAGCACCTCTCCCTTCACATGGACCTCTCGAGGCCAACTCGTTTTGCTGAGCTCAGTTTCTCTTCACCGAGGTCTCAAAACCAAGCCGCTTACCTAGCCCAACGTGACCAAGCCACGGCATGTGTAGTTCGCTTGCTCTCCTCATCCCCCAGGGACAACCGGCTGCAAGCTGAGCCTGGAGCAGTTGCAAGGATGCATCACGGTTATTTTTACCATCTCCTGGCTGCTCCGGGTATGTGCAAGGGAAAAGAGGCAGAAAAAGTGCACCTGGGACCTGGCAGGGGTATCCAAGGGCTACGGGGAGCATGTGCACCCAGACCACACATTGCACAGGGCTGTCCCCTGCCCCCGGGAAGGCAGAAAGAGGTCCAAGACCTGGAGCTGTTGAGCATGGCCATCATCAAATCAAACTAAAATGGAGGCAGGTACTAGAGAAACAGGCAGGGGAGGCCTATGGCAGCAGAAACAGAGGATCACCTTGCCAGGGAGTGTGAGAAGGGGCTTGGGCCATGGCAGAGCTCTGCCATGTATCAAAGCAAAGCCCTGGGGGAGCCATTTTGCACTCCTGTGTTGCTAAAATCTGTTCTCGGTCCCTATTGGGATGCCTTGGGGTCAGCATGAGTTTCAGCGTGGGAAGGAGCAGCTGGAAAGTGACGGCAAAGTCAAGGGCAAAACTGCCAGTGGCAGGAGGCAGTGGGTGCCCCCAGCTCCTTCCACAGGTGCTTCGAAAGTGCACCCCGAAAGCCACCAGCAGGGAAGGGGGATGTGGCCTTGGCCCCAGCTGTGGTGGGTATGCCAGGGGTCTGCTCCCCAGGCTGGGAGGGCACAGGGACACAACTGGGCAGGAATTAAATGAAGCACCCACTTACCAGCGTCTTGTGAATAAACGATGCTGCACTTCACCTCCCTGAGCTACTTCCTTGCGGAAGAAATGCAAGTCACTTTTGGAAGTGGAAATATTGAAGCATGAGGCAGAAGCAGGCTGGCAGGGGCATGGCACCCCAGGCCAGAAGTACAACAGGGGCCTATAGAGACCCCAAAACCTGCCCAGACCCTCCAAGGGGGATTAGATTAAAGGTATAAATTCTGGCAAACTTTATGCTGTGTCAGCGTCTAATGCTGCCCCCAGCCACTGACAGCCTGTCCCAGAGCTCGTCTCACTGTTGGGCTCTCCTGACTCCTCCGAGTCCAAACCTCGCAGCACGGGGACAGGAGACCACAGGACTGCCTGAGCTCAGCACCATCTGCATCCAGCACAGCTCAGCCTGTGGATGCCCACCTGCCTGCTGCAGCGTTTGCAGGTGCCAATGGAGCCACCACTGCAGTCCAACAGCACCAGGCACCCCCAGAGCTGGACGGGCATGGTCCCTGCAGGGGCACTGCCAGGGAATGGGAGATGGAAATTAACAGGAGCCAAGAACCCATGGGGCGTGCAGGGTGCCCATCTCCCACACCATGTCTGCTTTGCCTGACAAAGAAAAGCATCCATGGTGCAGATAGATCATAAAACCAGGCAGCACCCAGGGCCACTTCCCAAAGCTGCCACGTGCTCTTCAGAAACGAGAGCCCTTACGTGAGCTATCACCAGCTTTTTCTCCAGTGATTCAAAATAGCAGGAGGGAAGCCCTTCAGCTGCATCATGAATCATCCCTGGGAGGCAGAGTGGTTATTTTTACAGTGCTCTGGCTCACGTGGAGCCGCCAACGCATCGCCCCCTGAGATGGGCTACACTGCCACAGTGGGGGACACGGTCCTGTCCCTGCTGGGGGGCCTGCTTCATGGGGACTGGGACTCCCAAGGGATCATCATCCCATGAGGTTCCCTATTAGGGGAATGTGATGGTGAATGCCATCAGAGAGGATTGCCTTTGCTCAGGGGAAAGGGGAAAAGCTGTGCTGCTACCGGGGGTTAGCTTGCTCGTGGAAATAGCCCAGCATTGCCCAGGACGTTGGCATTGAGTCCTCTCCCCTCTCCCTGTGCCCGCTGGCTCCCGTGAAAGCCAATGGCCACTTTCCTTTTGCCGGGGTCTCACCCCTTTAGGCAGCACTGCAGACCACTGTCACCCTCCACAAAAACAAAACTAAAAGGGGGAGAGGAGAAGAAGGGCTGGATCTTGCTAAGCACAGGGATGAGGATGCATTGACACATGGCTGGGCTGGGCACCCTGCAGTAAATCATAAAAGCTTCAGCACCTCTGTCACCTCAGGTGACAAATGTTGACCTTGTAAAGAACAATGCAGCAAGCACGGGACAAGGGCACACGCCCACCCACCCTGGACTTCCCGTCCTCCTGCCACCGGCTCTATGGGGCACGATCCTCATGGACTGGAGCAGCAGAAGAGCTCTTTCAGTTTAATTGCCTGAAAAAGCCCCATTTGATGGGGCAACAGCATGACAGCAAGCCACCGGCTCATCCCACTCAAGCACAGAGGACAGACAGGCTGTGTGCCATTGCCCTCCTGGCTGCTGGGTTTTGGGACAGCATGGCACACACCCCTCCTCATCAGGGTCCTCGCCAGCCCCCCTCCCGAGCCCTGGCCGGTCCCAGGGGGCTGCAGGGAGGAGGGCTGGAAGCAGGGATGGTGCAGGGAGCTGGCATCATAGACGGGGCTGAGCCGTGGAGTTTGCCACCCTCCACCGGCACACTGCTATCCATGTGTGTCCTGTGGTAAGAACAATCCTGTGGCAGCACAACGAGCTGGGGAATGCACTCGGGTGCAGGGATGGAGGCATGAGGACAGAGGTGGGATGCTAGGCAGTGGTGATGGGCTCACCGTGCCACCCCAGCACCCATCAGCAGCCCAGTCAGAACCTGGGCTCCCATTCCCTGCAAAGGCTGGCACAGGAGCAGGGTCAGCTTATGCAACATGGTCCAGGGTGAAATATTTATCAGGCTGTTTAATGGAGAAACAGGCAGGAGGCCGGCTGGGAGGAGGAGGGGAGCGAGCACACAAACATGGGAAGGAAGTGACATGTCCCTGCCTGCCACTGGGGCGGGAGCCACAGCCCCCCAGGGCCCTCTCCAGGCTGCCGGGGGGGTCCCTGGAGTCTCCAAGCATCCCTCTCCGGGGAGTCCTCGATGTCCCTCGCTCCCCAGGAAGGGGACCTTGTGCCACAGAGGGGGTTGGGGCACTCAGGGTCAGGGCTACAGCTTGCAGCCGGCTCTTCCCCACTGAACAGGGACACAGGGAACCTCGAACTTTGGGCCACAAACTGGTGCCAGCAGCTGCATTCAGGCAGGACCAAGAGGTGCTGGGGTGAACAGGGGAGCTGGGAAGTCACTGGGAGCCTGCGGTGTGGTGGATGCATGGACTGGTTTCACATTGGTCCCATGCTGCCTTCCTCCTCCCCGCATAGGAGCTGCAACCACAGGCACCCCCCATGCAAACACTGCCCCAAAAGCAGGGGGAAGGCAGGGGAGGGGGCCAGGCAGGAGAGGAGCCGAGTGGGGACAGGGGATGCCGAAAGGAGAAGCAATCCCATCCAGACCTATCGCCCCAGCCCCCTGGGGCACGGCCTCTTTGGGGGAGCAGAGGGTGGCAGGATCAGCCCCAGCTCCCATCTCACACATGGGAGTGTGTGAAGTTGCAGAAGGGAAAAAAAAACCCAACAACCTCCAAGGACCAAAGCACATCCTGCAACCCCAGGCAGTGACAAATGCTTGTGCATTTCAAGTTCAAAATGGAACACCCCCACCCCAGAATAACCCAAAACCCCTTGGTTTCTCAGGTTAGGGTCCCCACCACCCCTCATGCCCCCAGCCACCTGAGCACAGCCCTGCACCAAAGGCCAGTCAGTAGAAACCTTTATTAAACACGAAGCCCAGAGAAACACAAGCTTGTTAAAAGGCAGTAAAAGTGAAAGTGCGTCTCCAGCCTGGCCCCGGGGGGCCCTGGGACCCCTGGGACCCCCCTCTCTTCCCCTCTGCTTCTCCCAGCCCCAGTGGGCCAGAGAGGGGGAGACAGAGCCAAAAGGCTGAACGGCTGCATGGGGAGGGGAAGAAAAGCCTGGAGACAGCATTGGGTCCTCGCCCGCAGAGATGCACACCCCCCCCAGGACACCCCTTTGTCCCCCCAAAGGGACATGCACATGGTCCCAGGGCTGCCAGCCCCAGCCCCAGCCCCCCTCCCGCAGCCACCTGCCACCACAGTGGCCTTGCCAGCAGCCCTGTTTTGGCCGCGAGCAAAGCTGGGATGTGCCAGTGAGCCCCCAGTGGGGCTCTCTATGTCTCCCCCTGACCAGCACCGTCCCCCTGCTCCCTCCTGCCCCCCCCTGTCCCGGGAGAGCTCCTACACGCCATAAATAATAAATAAATACCCCACACTCAGCCAGGCTGTGGGCAGCCCCCCATGCAGGGGGACACAGCTCCAACCCAGCGCCCCCCGCATTTCCACCACCCCCTTCCCAGCACACCAAAACTTCTCGGCACCCCCACTCTGCTGCACGGCCCCCCCCCCAACCCCCTTGGGAAATTAAACGCTGTCCCCAGGGGACAATAATAAATTAATCAAATCTATACACAGGACTGCTTAAAGCTCTGTAACGGGCAGCCAGGGGAGGGGGGCAGCGGCTCTGCCCTGGGCAAGCCCCCCCTGATCAGGGCCCTGTGGAGAGTCCCCCAAGATGGGACCCCCACCTGGGCATCCCCCCTTGCAGGACTGGAGCTGGGGACACCACTGGCCCCTGCCGGTCTTGGCAGGGCTGGAGGGGCAAGAAGAAAATATTGCAAAAAGGGACAGGGAGAGGAGCTGCAGGTGCTGCAGCTGGAGGCGCTGCCTGCCCTGCCTGTGAGGGCAGGAGCCCGGGGGTGCCCCCCCGCACCTGGCAACTCCCCTGTGAACACCCGGGCAGAGCCTCAGAAGTCCAAGGGTGTGAAGTCCCCAAAGTCGCAGTCGAAGAGTTCGCTGATGCCCTCACCCTCCTCCAGGCCAAAGTGGTAGTCCTGCACCTGCGGCGGTGACAGGTTGATGAACTCGTCCGCCAAGAAACCCGAAAAGTCCTCCCTGCTCTGCTCCAGGAGGGCGTCCATGGAGGCCAGTGGCGACAGGCTCACCTCCTCCACTGGGCACTTGCTGGGCAGTGTGCTCGTCCCAGGCAGCAGTGTTTCTGTGAGGATAGGAAGCAGCTGTAAATTCCACAATACTTGCCAAAAAACCCCCCCAAAAAGCAGGTTTTGGCTATGCAGGAGAACCTGCCTTCCTGCCTTGTTGAGGTGCCCAAGCATCACCCCAGCTCCTTGCTTGTGCTGACAGCAGAGGGGCTCACAGCTGCAAACACAGCAAGAACCCCTGGCCAGAGCCACCCTGCCATCACGCCAGCACCCCTGTGCCCAGCCCCAGCCGCCCACCTTGCTCTCCAGGCAGCAGCGGCATGTTCACATCCTGGGCAGGATGCAGGAGCGGGGAAGCTCTGGGCTGCGAATGGCTGGGAGATGACTCCTCTGCGGGGGCTTTGAAGGGGCTCTTGACGGGGCTACAGACCCCCGAGCTGTCCTCGGGGCAGAGGAAGACGTCGATGGGGCCCTGAGTGCTTCGCACAGAGACCTGGAAAGCCTGGGATAAGGGGAGAGGAGTGAGATAAGGAGGCGCAAGGATGCCCAGGGAGCCTGGGCTGGGCTTTGCTGAGGGCTGTGCAGACATGAGGAGCAGAGGGTGGCCCCAGCTTACCTCCGCTGGGTCCGAGACCTGCAACTGGGTCTCCGGGGGGGCTTTGATAACCATCACCATTTGCTCTGATGGGTCCACAATGCTGCGGAGATCCTGGCAGGTCACGTAGGCTGCGGTGTGGTGGGTCAAGGAGCAGACACAGGGATGTTCTCATGCAGCAGTGGGGCAGGTGGCAAAACGCCCTGACTTGCAATGCTGCTGGGTGCACCTCGGGGCTCAACTGCTCCCCCCACCCCAGCCGGCCCCATCCCAGCCCTGCACCAAAGGATATTGCTGGTTGGCAGGGTCCTCAGTGAGCAGGCGCAGCTGCACCGTGCACGTCTGGATGAGGTTGTCCAGCTGCCGCTCGGCCGCCTGCAGCTCCCGCAGCTCCTTCTCCAGCAGCCGGTGCTGGCCGGGGGCCCCCACGGTGGCCTGGTTGCCCCTGAGGAGCACCGCAGCCATCAGAAGCCTAACCTCACAGCTCCCTCTGCCCCACACCATGACTGTCCCCACCTGGGCCGGGCTAAATCCCACCCCATACCCAGGGAATGAGCTCAGGGAGCCTGAGGGAAACTCACAGACAACACAGGAATACCAATGCTGCTTGGGAGCCACCTGCAATTGAGCACAGCCTTCGCCCAGGGCTGTGGACCATGTGAAGGGGGACCCCACTTGAACCCAGAGCAGATGCTCCAGTGCTCTGCACTTCTCCATCCCAGCAAGACCCTGCTCCACTCCAAGCCTGGCCCAGGCAGCTCCCCCATCCCAGCGGACAGCCCGGCACAGCCCCACAAGCCCAGCCCAGGGACATACAGCCACTGGATGTTGTTCTTGGACTTCTTGGTGATGAGCTGGATGCCCTCCAGGACGTTGGTGATGTCGTAGATGCGCCTCTTCTGCACCTTCAGGACCTCGGCCGCCCAGTTGAGGTCCACCACGCCATCAGGCGACTGGCTTAGCAGCTCCAGGAAGCGCTTGGTGGTGAGGTTCAGCGAGGTTTCATAGCGGGACTTCTCCCCAGGAGACTTTGCCCCTGCCAGCCACCGAGGACAAGTGTGATTTAGCCACAAGAGAAACCCAGTGCTGGAGCTGAGAAGTCCCAAAACATCCCCCCCCACGCTCACAGATGGCTCGTGGACCAAGACCAGCACCCTGAAACCCATCTGGTTTCTCAGGGCAATGGGGTGAGCTTTTCATATCTTCCATGGGAAGGATGCTGCAGGACCTGGCGTGGGCTCTGACACCTGTGCTCAGCCGTGACCACAAGCTCAGTTCTGACACCAAGGTGCCAGGCAAGGGACAGCGGGGAGATGATGGAGGGTCCACCTGTGCCTGCACTGACACCATGCTGGTGGCTACAACTCCATCCCACAGGGAGGGATGGAGCCAGCGTGGTGCCCAGCAGACAGGCAGGACAACCATGCCATCAGCCCAGGGGGACAGCAGCACGGGCTGGAAAGAGCGGCCAAAACCAGCCTGGCCCCAGGAGCAGCCTCTCCAAACTGACACGAAGGGACGGGGAGAAGCTGCCAGGGACAAGCCCGGAGTTGCAGCCCAGCCTGTGGGCAGCAGAGTGGGGCTCCCGGACACCCTGCTCTGGGCTGGGCTGGCTTGGGGTGGGAGGTTGGGGGAGCAGAGCCAGTACCTTTAGAGGGGTTTCTGGCCTTGCCCCGGCCCACCGGCAGGCTCTCCGCTATGTACTGGTGATCCGTCTCCAAGTTCAACTTCCTCTTCACCTACAAGGGATGGGGCTCATCAGAGGGATGGCCACCGCCACAGCCCCCCACAGTGCTCATGACAAGAGTGCAGCTGTGATAGACCGCCAAGGGATCCCCCCTCCGCCAGGGACATAGCACCACGGGGTATGGAAGCTCCTGCTCCTGACAGGAACGGGTTGACGGGAGCAGCACCCCGGCTGCCACGCATGCCAGCGGGAATGGGGGACTGGCCCAGCCGCGGGGGGCCCCACCACGCTGCGGGGAGCACCCCAAAGCAGGCGTGGGCCTCAGGAGGGGAAGGCAAAGCACGGCCCAACTCCGGGGCACGTGGTTTCTGGAGCGGCAGCTGGGGAAGGGCCGCGCTCGGCAGGTGTGCTGCGTGGCACGGTATGGCGCGGCACGGCTGGTATAGCACGGCACAGCTGGGCACAGAGCATAGCACGATATAGAGCACGGCATGGCACGGGGTAGCAGCGTATACCAGGGCACGGCGTGGCACAGCCCCGCCCGGCCCGGTACATAGCCCGGCCCGAGGAGGCCCAGTATTGCACGGCTCGACACATAGCGCGGCCCGGTATACATCACGGCCCCGCCGGAGCCCGCAGGGTCCTGGGCT